TCAATCTCAAATATATAAAGAACCCATATATCTCAATAGTAAAAAAGCTAATAACCTGATTTAAAAATGGGCTAAGGCCTTGAATAGACAGTTCTCCAAAGAAGATACACAAATAACCAACTGGCATATGAAAAACTGCTTAATGTCACTCATTATCAGGGAAATGCAAATCAAAACCACAATGTGATATCACCTCACATTTGTCAGGATGGCTATTATAAAAAAACAAAAACAAAAAACAAGTGTTGGTAAGGATATGGAGAAACTGGAACACTTGCATACTGTTGGTGGGAATGCGAAACGCAGCCCCTATGAAAAACAGTATGGAGGGCGCCTGGGTGGCTCAGTTGGTTAAGCGACTGCCTTCGGCTCAGGTCATGATCCTGGAGTCCCGGGATCGAGTCCCGCATCGGGCTCCCTGCTCGGCAGGGAGTCTGCTTCTCCCTCTGACCCTCCTCCCTCTCATGCTCTCTGTCTCTCATTCTCTCTCTCTCAAATAAATAAATAAAATCTTTAAAAAAAAAACAAAAACAAAAAAACAGTATGGAGGTTCCTCAAAAAATTAAAAATAGTGCTACCATATGATCCAGCAATCCCACTTCTTGGTATACATCCAAAGAAATTGAAGTCAGGATCTGGAAGAGAGATTAGCACTCCCATGCTAGCACTATTCCTGATAGCCAAGATGTGGAAACAACCTGAACGTGGTATATACATACAACACAATACTATTCCGCCTTTCGAAAGGATATTCGACAATATGTCACAATGTGGATGAACCTTAAGGACGCTTTACGAAGTGAAATAAGCCAGTCGCAGAAAGATAAAATCCCACATGATTCCACTTACATGATCTGAAATAGTCAAACTCAGAATCACAGAGCAAAATGGTAGTTGCTGGGGGCTGGAGGGACAGAAAAACGGGGCGTTACTAACCGACGGGTATAAAGTTGCGGCCAAGCAAGAAGAGTAAGCTCTAGAGATCCACAGTACAACACCCAATAATACTGTATTGTGCACTTAAAATTTGTCACGAGGATAGATCTCGTGGTGAGTGTTCTTATCACACTGAAATAAAATTTTAAAAATATAATGAGAGAAAAGTGGTAATTCGCTGGGGCATTCATTTTGAAGTTCAAGAGGGTTGAAAGAACTGAGAAAACCCAACTCCCTCACTAGGCGAGGCATTGTTATTTAGCAGAGCCATCTTGCTGGCTCTAGAATCACCTCCCGGAACCACTACACTACTGTACTTGATTAATACAGTACCGAGAGACAAAGAGTTAATGTTGTCAAGCAGCTAGTGTATGATGGAAATCTTAAAGCCACTTCCTCACTTATTCTGTAGCACAACCTTCCAAGGTGGGTGTTTGTGATTTCCATTTTACAGATGAGCAAACTGAAGCTCAGAGAGGTGCTGGGACATGGCCAGAGCGAGAATCAGGAGCTGGGGCTATCTGACCTTTTATCATGACTCTCAGCAAACAGGACTCGTTCTGCTCACCTCTCCTCTCATGCCTGCATCGACCAGCCACATCTATCCAAAGGGCCAGGATTCTCTCCGGACAGAACTGAGTTTTCCTGGAATTGTGGTTCTTTGTTTTTACTGACCGAACACAAGACAATTCTGGAGTATTTCAGAAGCAGAATTATTTCTCTGCCCCAGGTCATGTTTTTATGTTAGCCTGTCCTTCCAAAATGAAAGGGGTAAACATCAAAGCATTCAGTGCCGCCTTTTATTAGTAACTTGGCTGTATTTTATGGTTTAGGGATTTGGCTTTTACTTCCTAGGAATTGCTCAAAACCAAAAGGGAACTTGGCATTGTCAGGAGGTTTCCGTGGGCCTCGTTGTCCCTTCCCTCACTGGTCCTTTTGGAGCCTCTGATCATTTCAGCAGGGAGCACCCTGGGAGGCCCCCCGTAGGTGGAGCCATGGCCACCTCAGGGCCCACCCTGCTCTCCCTCATGGCATTGGTCCAGGGAATACTTTCAACCAGGCATCAGGGGCTCCCCAACACTATCTAGACCTCTGGGAAGGTGCAGGAGGAACAGCCGCATACCCCTGCCTTCTGTGGGTTCGGGGTGGAGGAGCTGGAGTCGGCCAGCCCTGGGCTCTCCAGTCCTACCTACTTCGCCAGATCTTCCATTTCCCCATCTCCGAAATGGGCCAGCCCTGCCAGGATTGCATGGAATGACACAGACGAACGCCTTCTGGGAGCCGTCGAGTGCTGAGCCGACATAAGGGAATGGTGTTCTTGCAGTCTGGGGGCAACCACAAGATTTCTGCACACAAAGCAGCCAGGACACACCACGGTCCAGCATATAATCAGCTCCTTCATTATGTGGTTCTAACTGTACGAACTACAGGATTTCAGAGGAAAGCGAGACCAGCAGGGGCCCCGAAGACAGCAGCTCGTCCCAAGCGGAATGAATCCTCCAAACCAGAAAGAGAAGAAGGTCAGAAGCTAGAGGCAGGGGAGGGAAGCGCCTGCTCTCTCTCTTGGCCTCTCTGCCTCTGGCTTGGAAAAGATCAGTCCCTGGGGATTTGCTGCAGAGCAGGAGCTACTTCAGTAAAATCAATGAGCCACAAATAGCAGGCCCTTCTGGGGTGAAGAGCTTGGACAGTGACTAGGGAAATCACCCTGCTAAAACAAGTCCACCGACCTCACGTCTTCTTCAGCTTTAGGTATGAGACAGCTTGAACCTGGGGGTCTGGCTTAAAGTCAGAGCCGGACTCAAAGGCCGTATAGGGTCAGCTACCCAGGTGACCATCAGTGGGTGAATGAATAAACAGGATGTGGCATAGCCAGGGACGCCTGGGTGGCTCAGTCGTTAAGCGTCTGCCTTCGGCTCAGGTCGTGATCCCAGAGTCCTGGGATCGAGTCCCACATCATGCTCCTTGCTCAGTGAGGAGCCTGCTTCTCCCTCTCCCTCCTCTGCTGCTCCCCCTGCTTGTGCTCTCTCTCTCTGACAAATAAATAAAAATCTTTAAAAAAAAAAAAAAAAAGAATGTGGCATAGCCATAGGGTGGAATATTATTCAGCCTTGAAAAGGAAGGAAATTCCAGCACCTGCTACAGCATAGATGAACCTTGAGGCCATTAGCTAAATACAAGCAGCCTGGCATAAAAGGACAAATATTGTATGATTCCACTATATGAGGTACTTGGAGTAATCAAATTCATACAGACAGAAGGTAGAACAGTTGCCAGGAGCTGAGGGAAGGAGGAATTATTTAATAGGTACAGGGCTTCAGTTTTGCAAAATAGAAAGCATTCTGGGGATGGTTCCCTAACAAGGCGAATGTACTTAATGCCACTGAACTGTATGCTTAAAAATGCTAAAGATGATAGGGTGCCTGGATGGCTCAGTCTGTAGAGCAGGTGACTCTTGGTCTCGTGGTCATGAGTTCGAGCCCCACATGGGGCATGGAGCCTACTTAAAAAAATGATTAAGATGGCAAATTTTATGTGTTATTTTACCACAATTAAAACTTTTTACTTATTTATTTATTAGATTTTATTTATTTTGACAGAGCATGAGCAGGGGGGAGGGGCAAAGGGAGAGGGAGAAGAGGCTCCCAGCAGAGCAGGGAGACCCACGTGGGGCTCGATCCCAGGAACCTGGGATCACGACCTGAGCCAAAGGCAGACACTTAACCAACTGAGCCACCCAGGCGCCCCTAAAACTTCTTAAAAATCAGAAAAATAAGTCAAAATACCCCTGAAACCTTGAGGAAGGGACCACTGGAGACCCCCATCCGTCTCTCCATTACTCCATCGTATGCCAGGAGCAGCGTTGGAGCACCACTTTGCAGGGGATGAATGGGAGGTGAGCTTTTAGAGGTTTGTTATCTAGCAAATATAGGACATGTTTTTTTCCACTCCCAACTCACTCAACACTTGCAGGAGGCTCATGAGAGGCACCCCGGAACTGAGGCCTTCTGTGGAGAGGAGCAGAGTCTTGCCTCCCTCCAGAGCAGGAACTGGCGGGCTGAAATGACGGGCAGAATTGCCCATGCTCTTGACATCTGGGCATGTGCGCAGGCGCGCTCCCTTCACAGAAGTTTGTACGAGAATGTGTGCATGACGCAGCTCTCCTGCACTGCGATCTGCATCCTCAGGCCCCGGGCCAGAAGGGGCTTAAATAAAGATCTGTTGAACTAAGCTGTTTATTCATGATGGAGCTTCGTCTTAGTTTCATATTCTTTCGGGATCGGGATGTACCCATCCTTCTCTCATATTGGACACAGACACCAGTGCAGTGCTGGGCCCAGAAATCATGTCTGTTGAATCATTGAATGGATACCTGTTGGGAGATGAATGGGCATAACGAATGCCTAGTCCCCGTAGTGCCCTCCACCCACTCCTTATCCAACCCGCTGGCAGACACCTGAGGCTCCTTTAACTGATGAGCTAGGATGGCAGATTAATATGGACTGGGGCAGTGACAGATGCCAGATGTTTCTAGCCCTCAGTAGCCTGGACACTTCTAACCTCTACCCAAATCATAAAGCAGTGCCCTCGCTGTAACACTGCAGCTCTGTGAGTTAAGACACGCATGCAGGCATGTTGGAAACCAGCTTAGCGTTCACCAGTAGGCAGCTGGGTCAATAAAGTACGATACATTTGTGCAATAGACACCCTCAAGATCCAGTAGACATGAAGTCATAGAAGAATAATGACATGGCATGAAGTCCCCAGTTTAGTGTTTTAGATAAATGTATACATATTCTTTGCTCAGATATGCCCATAACATGTATGTGCACGCCTGTGTGTGTGTGTGTGGTCCCCAAACCAGCAGCAACACCAGGGAACTTGTCAGATATGCACATTCTCAGGCCCCACCCCAGACCTACTGAATCAGAAAATCTGGGACCCAACCGTCTGATTTCACAAGCCCCCCAGGTGATTCTTATCATACCCAAGTTTGAGAAGCCCTGACTCATGGCGTGTCTGACACCCCTCTCCTTCCTTTGGACTCATTTGTGTCTCTTCTCCAGGCCCTGATCCAGCTGCCCCCCTATATCTCTCAGTGTGATGAGGTGCTGCAGTTCTTTGAGACAAGACCCGAGGACCTGAATCCCCCCAAAGAGTAAGTTGGTGTGTGGACTTCCCTAGAGTGTGCCCTCACGGCCAGCCCTGCTCCCAGGCCGGGCCCAAGAGGAATTGGAGTAGAGCAAAGTAAAAAATTCAACTTGACCACCGTGATTGAGCCCTTGTGGGGCCTTGCTCCATGTGGCCCGCACAGGGGAAGGAAGCTGGCCTAGGGTCGCTCCTGGAATCTCCTACATGCCTGCACGTACGAGGCACGCGTGGAGAGTGGTGGAAGCGGGAGCCTAGATGCCCTTGGGGTGGGGCCTTGCCCACAAGGGTGAAAGTGCTCGTGACCGTGAGGGATATGGATGAATGAATGACAAGACCTGCTCGAGGTCTCAGCGCTCGTGAGTGACAGGGCCGGGGCCAGAATTTGATCCTTGTCATCCAGGGTCTAACACTGTCCCAAAATGTTCACCCCAGCCCCTGCAGCAGACAGAAAACACTCCCAGGTGCCTGTCTCTGCGTAGCCAGTGGTCCCGGCAGCCCAGGCACGCTGGAGAGACTCTCCCCCCAGCCTGCTGGCTTTACACATCAGGAGTTGATGGCACCGATGGCCCTGCCCGCCCGAAACACTGACCTACACATAGCGCTTATTAAAAAAGTTTAATTGTGGGGGAAACCACCATGCGTGTCTGCGGAGAGAAGAGGTCTCTGTAATGGAGCAGTCGCAGGGCTGGGGGTGGGGTGGGGACCAGCCCACAGGTGCGGGGCGGTCTGGGGTCAGAGGGGCTAGAGCCAGCACCTGTCGGGAAGGGCTGAGAAGTGCCAGCCAGGCTCTTGGGCCAGAGAGACAGAACAGGTGCAGGCGCACGCACGCACACGTACACACAAGTAGAACAGCCGCTAAAAATACAAAACGTAGCCTAGACTATACCAAAGAAAGCACAAAGTACCAGCTGTGATAAGCCAACAGCATCCTGCTGGAGTATATGTATCTAGTTCCAAGAGGCTTCCTGTAAAGAAGGAAAAGGTTCCAATCTCTCTGTCCCTTCCCTGCTATATGACTTTGAACAAGTGTCTTGACTTCTCTGAGCTTCTGTTTCCTCATCAGTAAAGTGGTCTTGGCTAACCTCGATCCCATCTTGGTTGTGAGGATTAAACACCATCCTGCCTGTAAAGGAGAGCCTGGTGCATGGCAGGTACCTACCTGGTGAGGCCTTCCTGTCTTTAAGCCAGGCTTTGACGTGCAAGGAAGGTGGGGAGGTTGCTGAAGGCCCAGGGGATGGCTCTGGGGCCACAGCAGGCAGTCAGTCTCAGGTGGGCCTTGGTTGTTGGTTCAGGGAGTAATGAAATAGCAACGAAACAGCTGGTCCCTTGATCAGGATCCTGAAGCTCATACCTGAGTTAGGGCTAAAGATGGAAACTGGGGGTCGTTCCCAGCAGTCTTTAGGGAGACAGAAGATGGATTCCAAATGGTGCTGTTAAAGGAAGGTTTTTTTTGCTGCCAGGCATAGGAAAACTTGGGACCGTCCCAAGCATGTCACACAGAGAAGATGATGTGCCTGGTGAGCCCACACATGCTGCTGCTTGATCCCAAGAGCCCCCCGCTGCCCCTAACTGCCGGCTCCGGCCAGGACAGCAAGACAACCAGCAGGAATATATGGCAGGCAGGAGCCCAGGACTTCAAGGAGCCCAGACCGTGGCTCAGGTCACAGGCCTTGATGGCAACTCAGGCAGATGGTGCTTTACACAGAGGCAGCCTTGAGGGACCTCTGTGGGTGTGTCTTGGAGCTGGCCGCTAAGAAGGAGACTTCACCTACAGGCCAGGCCAGGGTTTGGTCAGGAGAGTGGGCCCCAGCTGGGCTCCCTGGGTTCTGATGTTGGGTGAGGTGCTTCATCTCTCTGGGCCTCCGTGTCTCCACCTGTGAAATGGAGTAACCCTCAAGGATTATTATGAACGTTCATCAGGTGGGTCCAGATACAGCACTCTGACCAGCACCCTGTACCCAGTAAGTGCCGGTAAACGTGAGCTAGATTATTCGGCTGTTGCTCTCACCCTCCCCCGCACAGGGGCGATGAAGTTTAGCCCCACTGAGGTAATGCGTGGCCAGGGGACAGCACAACCAACCAGCGCAGCCCAGCGCTGGGGCCAGGCCCTGCTGCTCCTCCCAGGTGCACAGCAGTGCAGCCCCAGGCTCAGGGGATTGGCTTAGCCCCCTCTCCCTCTCCCACGATGCCCGCGATGACAGGGACAGGGTCATTACATGCTGGTGAAAAAGCCAGACTTGAAAATCAGACTGAACTTGACATTTCTCCGAAGAAGATACACAAATGGCCAATAAGCAGAGAAGAGAAGAAGCTGCTCAGCATCGTTAGCCATCAGGAAATGCGAATCCAAACCACAACCGCTGGAACGGCTAGAACCAAAAAGCAGAGAGCAGTGAGTGTTGTCGAAGAGGTGAGGAAACTGCATTGGTGTGCGCTGCAGGCGGGCTCATAAGATGGTGCAGCTGCTATGGAAGACAGCCTGGCAGTTCCTCAAAAAGTGAAACCGAGAGTTACCATGTGACCTGGCATTCCGTTCCAGCATAGACCCAAGAGAAATAAAAATACACGTCCACACAAAAACCCGTGTCCACATTCACAGAAGCAGGATTCGTAAGAGCCAAAAATGTGGAAACAACCCAGTGCCTCTCAGCTGATGAACACGTCAGCCAAGTGTGGTTTACCCACACAGCGGGGTTTTATTCAGCCATAAGAAGGAATAAAATACTCATCCGTGGTACAAGGTGCTTGGCCCTTGAAAACATGCCACCCGAAAGAAGCCAGTCACAAAGAGCCTCGTACTGTATGATCCCATTCATATAAAACGTCCAGAATAGACAAATCGTTAGCATCAATAGCAAATTAGTATTTGCCAGCAGTTGGGGGGAGTGCGAACAGCAAATGACTGTTTCTAGGTACAGGGTTTCTCTTTGGAATGATGAATATTTTCTGGAATTAGACAGTGGTGATAATTACACAACCTTGTGAATATGCTAAAAACCAGTGAACGCTGCACTTTAGAAGAATGAATTTTATAGTGCATGAATTATAGCTCAATTTTTAAAAATCAGGTAGATCTGGGTTCAGCTTGCACCTTGCTAGCTGTGTGGCCTTAGGCAAGTTACCTAGCCTCTCTGGGCCTCATTTACCTCATCTAGAAAATGGGCATTAAAAGAGTGCTTCTTTCCAAGGGTTATTATAAGTATTAAATGAGTGAACTAAAAGTACCCAGCCAGGGTACTGGCACAGGGTAATAACACTTAGTAATTATTAGCTGATGTTACTACTGCCACAGCATGTCTCAACCCAACCATCTGGTCAACCTCCCTTTTCCCTTTATAACATAGGAAACCTTTTTACTAATGGGATGCTTTATTTATAAGTATTTTGTAATCCCTGATTTGTAATATTGTATTGGTAATGCAGTTGTGTGTATAAATTCCGATGTGGCTGACAAATAGAAGGGAGTGGGTACTCTTTATTCTGTATGAATCCTAGCCCACAGTAGTGTTCTCTAGGTCACAGCGAGAGAGACGTGTTTTATTTACTGATATCTAGACTTCTACCCAGTTTTCGTGCGTTCCGCTTACACCTACCGCCGAGAGCTTTCTGCTCCATGAGTACAGCTCAGGGCAGCCCTAAGAAGTGGGGCAGGGCCTCTGCTGTGCCTGCCGAGGTGGGCATCAGGCCCTGTGCAACATGGGGGCCTAAGGTTGTTTTCATACTGCATGCCCCCACATCAACCCCTCCCTAGGGCCCCCTGCTCTGCAAATAGAGTAGACATGCTGGTCCCCGGGGTGCTAGAGCACTTACAGGGCAAAGGGAGAAGAATAAGAGGAATTCTTTCTTTTTGAAAGAATCTGGGTCCCCGGGGCTGCCTCTGATTATGTTCTTTCACTGGAGATGTTGTGGGATGGAGAATCTCAGTTTCCTAATGGAATAACTCACGTCACCGTGTAACCCTACTGACTCGTTACTCTCTCCCACCCCCTTCTTTCCTGTGCAGGGAGCATGTTGGGAAAAAGAAATCTGGTAAGAATATTTTGCATTTTCATTCTTTCAATGTTCAACATACCCCTGCTGAGCACCTCTGATCGCCAGGCCCTGGGCACTGCCTGAGGAATACAGCATGTGACTGGGTGGATGGATGGATGGATGCTTGGTTGGTTGGTTGATATTCCAGCCTGTTTCCCAGAAAAAGAATTAGAGGTTGTTGCATCCTATACCAAAAAGGTACAGACTGGATAAGACCTGCTGTCTTTCCCTGAGAATGCCTCAGAGGAGTAGGGGAGCCCGACACCCCCTGACCAGATGTAGGGGGTTAGGTACCTCTTCTCTGCTGTAGACAGAGGAATGTGGTGCCTCACAGCTGAGAGCATTCTTCCCAGGTGTTGGAAGGGGTCAAAAAAGAAGAGACACTGGGTCTTGAAGAGTGAGCAGGAGCTTTCCACAGAGCGAAGGGCGGCTGGGGTTGAGGAGAGGTGCACAGGTGGGAGGCCCAGCCTCCATGCTTCCCTTAGTCGGCCACTGTTCTGGGCAGTAACGGCCACCCTTTCCAGCACCTCTGGCGCTCACTCCCTTCTCCCGAGCATCAGTGCCCTCCCTTCCCAGCCTCCCTTCTCCACCCTGGAAGGCACAGCTCTTCTCTCTAGAGCAATGATGGAGAAAGAGAAGGTGGGGATTCGGGTATGCACAAAGGAATGACTCAGTCTTTGCAGGCCTGGGGTTGACAACTTTAGATTCACAACAGTCTGACCTTTCCTTCCAGCAACCCAGGATTATCCGCCCCCACCCCATATCTGCAAAGTCCCCTGCCCACAACCCCCACACCTACAGCCAGCATGGTCTTCAGAGCTTCCAGAAGTCTAAGTTCTTGTGTGCATCTAGGACTCCGGGAAGATTGAGAGCATTGATAATGGTGTAGGGAAAGAGGGGCCAAGCAGAGATCCTGGATGTGAAAAAGGATGCCTCCTCTCATGGCCCTCAGTTCTCTCATCTGTAAAATGGGGATAATAATAGTAATCTATCTTGGCGGATTATTATAGGATTTATAGTAATATGTACAAAGCACTTAGAACAATGCCTGGCATATTTTAAGTGCTGCATGTTTACTGCTACCATTAATTCAAAGCACATGGGCGTCCCTGTCCACATTCAATGGCTCTGGTCCCTTTACGGCCCCCTGGGTACAAGGCCTATGGTCAGCTTTATAGGGCCCCGGCCATTCTAGCAAGGAAGAGTGGGGAGGAGCTGGGTCTCTTTCCCTCAAGGTCTGGCGTCTGGAACGAACGCCCTCCTTTTCCCAACCAGTCTGTTTACAGCTCCACTTTCGGGTTTAATAGGTACTGGCCGGGGCTATGGCATCCTTTTAAAGCTGCAAGTGGTCCTTGAGCTCTGAGCATAATGATATGTTTCTTAGAAAAGAACAGAGAGGAGAAGAGGCATAGCCACTCTTGGGCAGGTCACAGAGTTTCTGGCTTTGAGTGTGCAGAGACATTCCTGGAGGGAACGGCTTAAGGAGAAGAGGAAAGAGACAACTCTGGTTTGCAAAAACCAAAGTGTCCGGTCAGAACAGGCTTGATGAGGGGACTGGTCTGGAGGAGTGAAGAGGTTCTAATTTGTGGTGACGACTATTACATCATTCACCTGCAATGATGGGAGATGGATTTATTTATAGTTCAGCTGGATGGAAAATAGCATCTTTCTTCATTCAGGCTAAAGACCCATGCTGGAATTAGCCTTATTTTCTTATCTGACCTTTGAACACTTCCTTTGTGTTAGAACTGGCCTTCTTGATTGACTGTGAAAGGGATTTAAGGTTGACAGCCCAAACCCTGAGATTTCTGTGCCAGAACTCTGAATTGGAGAAAGCTCATTTGTCTCCAAAATTTGCCAGCCATGGCCAGCTGGCTGGCTCCTGCAGACTTGGGCTAATATGGGCTCAACTTTTGCTCATCCAGCAGGAAAAAGTCCTCCCACCAAATTTAAGAGGTCATCTGATTATTTAAAGAGCATCTTTCTTCTTGATTTTTCTACCCTTTACTTGTTTCAGTATCCTCTAATTTACTGGCTCTTTCAGCAAGACTGGCAGTATAGTGAATTTCTGGAAAGAAAATCCTACTTTATCATTACTCACTGTATTAGTCTGGCTTGGGCTGCCATAACGAAGATACTATTGAATGAGTGGCTTAAACAACAGAAACTTATTTCCTCACAAGTACGGAGCCTGGAAGTCTGAGATCAAGGTGCCAACACCATCAGGTTCTGCCAAGAGCCCTCTTCCTGGCTTCTAGACTGCTGCCTTCTCACGGTGTCCTCCTATGGCAGAGAAAGAGCAAGAACAAGCTCTCTGGTGTCTCTTCTAGTAAGGGCACTGTCCCCATCGTGGGGGCCCCACCCTCATGACCTCATCTGAACCTAATTACCTCCCAGAGGCCCACCTCCAAATGCCATCCTATGAGAGTTAAGGCTTCAGCATATGAATTTTGGAGGGACAAAATGCAGTCCATGCAGTTATCTTTAAAATTCAAGACATGCCATCATGAATAAAAACATGCCAGTTAGAAAATTCTGTGGTACCTTGGGCACTGTACCTCTTGAGAATATTTTATAGCACTTCCTCAGTATTAAAATCACCCTTCCACTGTCAGATTTCTCTGCTGACCTGTTTGTTCTCTTATTCCTGCTGGACCACAAGAATGACGTTCCTTACATAGGAATACTTAGATGTCAAGCTTGCAGCTCCTAGTACTTAGCTACCTGCGTCAACTTCCAGGTATTGCTGTTACTACGCATTATAGAGCTTGGGCGCAATATCACTGCCCACCAGTAGGTGTCTCCACCTAGCGCCCAACTGGCCTGAAGCCTAGTTTGAGAATCCTGGTCAAACGAATGACGTTTTCATGAACTGAGTGCTCTGGGTAAAATGAAGGCAGAAGAACTGGTGCTGGGAAAGCAGCCCCAAGCACTCTCTTCCAAACCACTTAACGGCAGGAACTTCCGTGTAAAAAGCTGCTGTCCTAGAAGAACAAGGAGAGGTCGGACACAGACGTGGCCCCTAGCGAGTCTTGGAGGAAGTGCAGCCCCGAGCCCTGGGCTCAATAGCAGATCTGCTCGCACCAGCCCAGAGTCCTAAACCTTGCTCCCTGACCTCCGCATTGCCTGCACTGGTGTCTCGTTTGCAGTGAGTCCCGTGATTTTCTGATTCTGTCACTGCCCTTCATTCTCCCAAACCCCCTTGGCAGCCTGGTTGGGAGAGTTGGTGCAGAAATGAGTAGATCAGTCCATTGATCAGAATCCTGAAAACTGGGTGTGGTACAAATGTACCACCATCAGTTGTTCAGACTGAGTGGCAACAATGAGCTTTCTGGACCGAGTAACCAGACTTGACCCTGATTCCATCAAAGCTCTGTCCCTGCTTAGAGGCAAGAGGGAGTCGTCTTGGTTGCCCCTGAGATGGACAGGTGCCTGCTTTAACTGTCAGCATTGTGTGCTCTTAGGAGGAGGCCTGGAGCCATGCAAAGCAGAAGAGTTTCTAGAATTTTCCCTTTGTCGATTCACTCCACAAATATCCATTGAGTGTCTGTGCTAAGTGCTGAGAGGACAAGACAGACACAGTTATTGATTAAATGTTTATTAAGTACCTACTGTATGCCTGACAGTGCTCTAAGCCTCTAGGGAATGCAAAGGTAAACAAGATGTGAGAAGTATTCTTACAGTCTGGTAGAAAAAATAGATGGTAAACAAAATAAAATATTATAAGTGCTCTAAAGGAAGGCATTTAAATTTATTTCTGGGGCAAGAAGTCCTTTAAAGGTGAGTTTTAGAATATTCATTTTTTTTCCTTCAGATATTTATTGAGCCTAGTAGGTGCCATCCACATTCTAGGCCAGGGGTTAGCAAACTTTTTCTCTAGTGGGCCGGATAGTAAATATTTCAGTGTTTGCAGGCCACATACAGGCCCTGTCAATAATAATAATAATAATAATAATAATAATAATAATAATAATAATAACTTTTCCTCTTCCTCTCATTCTCCTTTACAACCCTTTAAAAATACAAAAGCTTTCCTGGAGTGCCTGGGTGGCTCAGTCAGTTAGGCATCCAACTCTTAATTTCAGGGTCCTGAGTTCAAGCCCCACATTGGGCTCCACACTGGGTGTGGAGCCTACTTAAAAAAAAAAATCTTTCTTAATTCCCCTTGCACCAAAACAGACCATGGGCCCGTGAGCCTTTGGATAGGGAATCCAACAGTAAACAGGAGACTGAGTCCCTGCACTCATGGGGCTTATGTTCTAGAGTGGACAGACAGACAGCAAGGAAACAAGTAAATACACAGAATCTGTGTTTTTTTTAAACACTGTGGTGAAATAAAACTAGGTGAGGCACTCAACCCCACCATATAAATTATACAGAATATTGCTCTTGAATTCGGGACTCTCCTTTTCTTGCCTTTATATACATTAAACGTATGTGAATCTTAAAAAAAAAAAAGCTAGGTGAGGCAGAGCAAGGTGGTCAGAGAAGATCTCGTTGGTGAGATGCCGCGGGAGCGGGAACCTGAACCGTGCCACCTTGGGGAGTGTGCAGAAGAAATGACCAGAGGGCTTGGGCGGGGCCCCGTAGGCCACTGGGCTTTTCCTGAGTGAGGTGAAGCCATTGCAGGGTCGTGACCTTTGAGGAGCACGATCTTACACAGCTTTGGAAAGGATCACTGTAGCTGCTGTGTCAAGACCAGATTGTGGCAGTCAGGGCTGGGGCAGGAGACCAGTTAGGAGGCTAAGATTAGGTGGTCCCCACGTGAATGCAGGGGAGAGGAGAAGGCATCCCGAGCAGAGTGAACAGTCTATATGCAAAGGCACCTTCACGCTTTCCGGTTTTATAGGTACGCCAGGGGTAAGGTGGCCAAAAGACAAGACCATAAAGGCCAGCAGAGCCCAGGTTGTAGAGAACCTGAGGGCAGTGGGGAGCCATACCAGGTGCTGAGCAGTGAGCAGCGTGGTCAGTAACATTTTTGGAGCGAGCACTCTGCAGTATGGAGGACACCCCAGAGGGGCAGGATGGAGACCAGTTTACACATGCCGTTCCCCCACCACCACCATCCCAAAGAATCCTCACTCAGACCCTGGTGCAGAGCATGGGGCTCCGTGAGGAGGGGAGAGGAGTCAGGTGACAGGATGCTATAAAGAAGGTCCACCCGCATCAGACCTGTGGCTGGGTGAGCAAGAAGCCAGACCTGCCTCCAGGTGGCAGCAGAGAACCCCCCCAGGCAGGAGCACAGCTGACCCAGCCCCCTGACCTCGTGCGGGGAAGACCTGGGCACATCTCTGCGAATTCACCTGACTGTGTAGTGGCTGCTTTTCTCCTGTCTCTCCAGTTCTTTCTGTTGGGTTGAGAGACAGGGAAGCACAGTTGCCTGGAGACAGCCCACCTGAGCGCCAGATTAGACGGGTAGCTGCATTCCTGGCATTGGGATCCCTAAGGCAGGCTGTATCCTGGGATGAAAGCTATAGACGCTGGTCTCTACCTATTGCATCCCCTGGGGAAATTGTCCCCAGCTCACAGGGGCCAGGAGCCTCCAGCAAGCCAGCATCTGCCTCCGCTCCCTCACGTGATGGGACCTCTGTGGGCACAGTGCCTGGCGGTTCAGGACACCGTCGACACTTCTGCTGTCAGGAGCTTCTGATCTCATGGGGGCAGCGGGGGGGCAGTAACCAGCCTGCTCAAAGGCTACTCCCGAACGGCTCGAGTGGCTGGGCTGGCTGGGGTGCACTGTCGTGCTGGAAGCCAGGAGGAAGTTAGCCCTGCAGCCTGACCTTGGGGGAGGTGCTGGAAGAGGAGAGAAGATAGCCCAGAGAGACGCAAGGAAATCAGACCCAGCCTGACTGGCCCCGGGAGGTGCTCGTGGGGACCCACGGGGAAGGAAAGCAAACGGGCCTCAGACCACCCTTCCTCCCCTAGCATCTTTTCTTTCCTCACCTACCCGCACCGTGCCCCCACCACACCGGAGAGCCTCTGAGCCGGGTGGACCTGGTTCAAGTCCCGCTTTGTCACCATCCAGCTGTGGGACCCGAGGCAGGTCACTTGATGTCTTGGAGCCTCTCTTTTCTTGTCTATTAAAGGGGGGTGGCTGTACCCGCCTTCCAGGGTGGTTGCGTTGACATAGTTTATGTATGATGTGTAGCCTGTGATGGGCGTTCATGCGAGGCTCCTTCCCTCCCGACCTGCTCCCGAACCTTCGGTCTACATCTCCGTCTCTCTTCTCTGCTCTCTTTCTCTGTTCCCATGCTTTCTGCGCCCAGGGTGGCCCTGGGCCCCTCGCTGGCTCCTGTTTCCCTCCGTTATCCTCAGCTGGGAAGAGCCAAGACTCGGTGACACTTCATCCTGCTACAATGGCCTATTCTGGTTTTCCACATCAGCGATTCAGAGCACATGGTTCTAACAAAGGGCTTTTGTTCTGCTTCTGGATGCCAGAGGCTGGGGTGCCCTGGCATGCTGGTGAATAACTTCACAACCAGCTTTCTGATCAAGAGCCCTGCTTTGTAGCATTTGCCAGTATCCATGGTGTAAATACTCCCGCTGTGGCCAGTTTCAAGCTACCAGCAGGGCGTCACCCAATAGAGCTGGGAAGGGGTGCGCAAAATTGCCTAGGGTGAGCTGGCCCTTGCACACCACTCCGTTACTGGGTGTGTTTGGACACAGAAGTGTGGGATTTCCTGGATATTTCAGTTGCTTATGGAAACAATAAGAGGGAATACTGTGAATCAGGACTTTCACAAAACCAGGGCCCTGTGGCCACAAATGTCAGGCTGCCCTCCCATCCCATTCAGTCTGCTACTCTCAAAGGGCTGTTCCCTTCTCTTTGGAGTCTCTGAACTCAGATGTCCCTTTACATCACCCGTATTGTAGGATGTCTTCCTTTATTAATCAGGTGTGTCTTAGTACTCAGCCAGGACCTCACAACTCCAGAAGGCACCGTCCACATCGCATCCTGTGGAAACAGCCTCTCCTGGAGCACCTGTCCACGCCCTTCTCTTCCCGCTGCCACTGCCCTGGTCCAAAGCCACCATCGTCTCCTGCCTGACAAACCCATGACCTTCCATCTGGTCGCCTGCTTTCTTTCTTGCCAGCCTCTAATCCACACTCCATGTGGCAGCCAGAATTATCTTTCTAAAGATGTAAATCTGCACTTGTCATTCTCTCTTAAAGGCCTTTAGTGGCTTTCTCCTTGAGGGTTAAAAAAAAAAATCCAAACTTCTTACCTGCCTGTTCTGACCCATGCTTAGCTGTGTGTCCTCATAAAGGACTGCTCTCCTCGCTCACTGGGCTCAGCCCCCTGGCCTCCTCCCAGGCCCCTTCCTATCTGAGAGTCTGCCTGCATCATTCTTTCCCCATTCTCTCATGTCTCCTATTCATGTCCCCTTCTTAGGGAGGTCTTGCTGACCACCCCATTGAATGTGACATCCCCTTTCCCGATCATTCTTGGTCCAGCATCCTAGGTTGTCTCCAGCAATGCAGCTATCAAAAACCAATACTTACATTATCCTGTATACTTATGATTATATAGATCTGTTCATGTGTCTGTCTCCCCAACTACATGAAGTTACTTGAGATTGGGAGTCATATCTGTTTCATTCACTTTAGTCCCCCCCAGCACCTAATAGAGTGTCTGGAATATCACTGGTGACTTCATGAATTCATAGATGAGTGATTTTTGGATGGATGGATGGATGATGGGTGGATGAGTAATGGCAGAGGGATGAATGGATGGAAGGGAAGATTGATACGAGTGAATGCACTTTCCCACTAGGCCGTCAGCTTCTTCAGGGCAGGTACCATAATCTTGACGAACTCTGAATCCCCAGTGGCTCACACAGTGTCTGCATTGAGTAGGCACTTGGTAGATTTTGGTGGTTGCATGAGCAAATTAAGAAAATAATGAATAGATGAGGTGACCTTTACGATAAATCCTATAATAGCTTCTTTCTGTCTTTGAAGTGTTCTCCTGACCCACCCTACTCCCCGGGCTCCTGCTCCTTCATGTGTGGGGTGGTGGCTAGAGGTGACATCTGATAAGGTTTTATATCCACAGGGGGTGACCTGACCTCAGTGGACCCCATGGTCCTGGAGCAGTATGTGGTGGTGGCAGACTACCAGAAGCAGGAGAGCTCGGAGATCAGCCTCAGCGTGGGGCAGGTGGTGGACATCATTGAGAAGAACGAGTCAGGTAGAGGAACCAAGCCACCTCCCTCCCTGCCCTACACTGTCACCAAGCCCCTAGGACAGGAGATATTTGGAAACACAGAAACTGCAGTGGCTGACCTGAGCTGGGCAGTTTCCACAGATCTAGCTGACACCCTCTTAGAAAGCTACCCCTGTTTGATCACAGGGCTCAAATATCCCACTTGGTCACAACTCACCAGCATCCTGTTGGATCAGTTGTTATTGATTTATTCTGAGGGTCGCTTTTCATGAATGTGTCTTCTGGTTGCAAAGCACTTGGAGACACGAGTCCAGCATCCCACTGGAAATTTGCCTTTGGTTACCACAGGAGTCTTCGTGAAGGCTCCGTCAGCTGTGGGCTCTGATGGGATGGACACATCACCTGTCATCACAAGGACCCCTGGTCATGTACACTGGCCAGGTCTGGGACAGAAGGTGGTATGATCAGACACTTAGCCTGAGTTTCCATCTGAACTCTGCATTTCACAGCAGTCCAGCTTGCTGCTTCTCTCTGGCCATCCATTCTCTCATATGCAAAATAGAAAAAGCTTCAGGGCACCTGGGTGGCGCAGTCGGTTGAGTGTCCGACTCTTGGTTTTGGCTCAGATAACGATCTCGGGGGGTCGTAGGATCAAGCCCTGTGTCAGGCTCCACGACCAGCCCAGAGTCTGCTTCTCCCTCTACCTCCACCCCTCCATCCCCCTCCCTCAAAAATAAATAAATAAATCTTTAAAAGAAAAAAAATAGGGCACTTGGGTGGCTCAGATGGTTAAGCATCTGCCTTTGGCTCAGGTCATGATCCCAGAGTCTTGGGATCAAGTCCCGCATCGGGCTCCCTGCTTAGCAGGGAGCCTACTTCTCCCTCTGCCCCCCCCCCCCCTCTCTCTGTCTCTTAGGAATAAATAAATAAAAGAAAAGAAAAAAAATAGAGGGCGCGCCTGGGTGGCTCAGTCGTTGAGCGTCTGCCTTCGGCTCAGGTCATGGTCCCAGGGTCCTGGGATCGAGCCCCACATCGGGCTCCCTGCTCGGCGGGAAGCCTGCTTCTCCCTCTCCCACTCCCCCTGCTAGTTTTCCTGTTCTCTCTGTCTCTCTCTCTGTCAAATAAATAAATAAAATCTTTAAAAAAATAGAAAATAGAGAAAGCTTCTACTTCAAAGAACTGTTACAAGGATCAAATGAGATGCTACCTAGCATGTGCCTACACCTAGGCCCAGCACACAGTAGGTCCTCAGGAATGTGGGTTTCCTTTCCTCTTGCCTTCCTTAGCCACAGAGCAACCGCTGGCACCACTGAAGGCAAAGAGCAAGGAGTAGCGATGAGCAGATTCTCTCCAGGAAGAAGTGGCATAAACCCACTGGCTTCGTTGTGCCTAAAATGTGACATTGCCTAATAATATCATTAGCAGGCCAATGTCTGTGACACCCCAGTAGCTAGTTATGGGCCAACAAATAGAGAGGAAAGACTATGTTTGCAGCAGCATCTGGATCATGTTACCATTAGTCATTAGATCGGCATTAGCCAACCAAATTCTTTAATACAGCAACTGCCATCCCGCATCACAGCTGAAGAAACAAGACTCCCAAGTACTGTGCTTACTCACCCAGGATCTCACTGACAAGTTACAGAGCTGGAAGTCCAAACAGTTCCAGCTGGCTCCGAGGCCAGGTGACTCTCTATTCCTGGGAATGAGTATATACAGATGATCTAATTATTGGGAATGAGTATATGCAGATTATGGATGTGGCTAGGATACCCCGCAGGGACTAAGGAAGGCAGCCTCTACGCGCCCCCCCAGCAGCCTGTGTGCCTGAAGTCGGGAAGAACACGTTGCTGGGAGAAGAGTAGGAGCTAGGATGGGGTTGCTGAGGAGAAGCCTGGTATGTCCAGAGGCAGTGGAGGAAATGGGGCCCACAGAAGGTCACATCTTCCAGTGGCCAACAAACTGGCAACATTTATTTTTAATTATATTTTACTGACCCAAGTAATATGTGGACACATTCTTCTTAAAACATTAATGATAAAGTTAAAATCTATCCTTTCCACTGGCTTCATTCAACCTTAGTCCACTTTCCAAACCCCAGATAGACCTTCTATCAGTTTACTATGAATCCTTCTTGATAATTGTATAAACACATACACATATATGTATGTGTGTGTCTTCATGCATATGCATGTATACACATGTGTGTTTGTATGTGGTCTGTATGTCTACATGCCTGCACATGTGTGCCCATGTGTAGATGTAGAACCATATGCACACACTATATTTTGTGTGTGTTGATATAATTTTATCATTTTTTTAACCCCAGTGGTATCATTCTGTTACATTTTGATCATTTTGATCTGCAACCTGCTTTCTAGTCAACATTTAGCTCTTCTTATTCCTTCAATATCTACATACTATTTATCTGAATAAACCGTGTTTTTCTCTCGCATGAACAGTGTATGCATGCACACTGGTGAGTGTTTCTTTAGGTTAGATACAAGACATAGTACAGAAACATACGTACACAGATTTTGAATTTTAAGATACTGCCGAATGACCTGCCTCCAAACTGGCCATGACAATTTACTCTCCCCCTAGCAACAAGGAGGGATTAGGGCAGATGGTTGAGAGCTGAGACTTTGAGGCTAGGACCACCGAGGTTTGAATCCTGGCTCTGGCGCTTTCCTTGTGACCTCTCTCTGAGCCTCGGCTTCCTCATCTGGAGAATGGGGCAGTCACATGCCACTACAGGACTAGTGTGAGGATCCAGCCTGTCAGAAGCAGATGTGAAGCGCTGACCCAGTCTGGCGCACATTGCTGTCATTGTTGTTCTGTTGGGACAGTTTGCTTAACCCCCACACAAATACCTACAAATAGGAGTTCTTAGGAAGACATATGACATACCTTCTAGTTTCTGGATTTGTCCACCCCGTTCACTCACTCACACACATGCACACAGTTCCCAGCCATGAAAACTTGTATTTTGTTTTTTATTTTTTTTTTAAGATTTGTTTATTTATTGAGAGAGTTGGGGGGGAGCAGAGGGAGAGGGAGAGAGAAAGTCCCAAGCAGACTCCCTGCCAAGCGTGGAGCCCAATGCAGGGCTCGATCCCACGACCCTGAGATCATGACCTAAGCCAAAACCAAGAATCAGATGCTTAACCCACTGAGCCACCCAGGCGCCCTCCCAAAACTTATATTTTAAAAGGAGTGTCCAGTTGATTAAAGCAGCTGACTTCCACTTCAGGGAGGTCAAAAGCAAAGGCGTCCCTGTAAGACCAGGAAGGCTGCTCAGTAGTCTGCCCCTTCCTTCTCTTCTTTTTTGGGGTGTCCAGGGCTTGGAGCTGTGTGACTTTGGGGAACAAATCCTGTTTTTCTTTTTCCTTTTTTTTTTTTTTTTTTAAGATTTACTTATTTATTTTAGAGAGAGAGAGCACACATGTGAGCAGGGGGAGGGGCAGAGGGAGAAAGAGAGAGAGAATCCCAAGCAGACTCCCCACTGAGTGTGGAGCCCAGCGTGGGGCTCCATCCCAGGACCCTGAGATCATAACCTGAGCCAAAACCAAGAGTCGGATGCTCAACCAATTGAGCCACCCAGGTGCCCCCAGATCCTGTTTTTCCATTTATATTCTGCAGGGCCAGTTGGGCCATGTGTTAATTTACCATTGCCGTTGTGCCCAATTACCACAAACTTAGTGGCTTCAAACAATATAATTATCCTACAGTTCTGTAGGTCAGAAGTCCAAAATGGGGCCCACTAGGCTAAAATCAAGGAGTTGGCAAGGCTGAGTTCCCATCTGCAGCTTCTGGAGAGGATCTGCTTCTTTGCCTTTTCCAGTGTCTAGAGGCCACCCCATCCCTTGGCTCATGGTCCCTGCCTCCGTCTTCAGAGCCGTGCTGCCCCTTTCTTGTCTCCTCCGCAGCCGCGTCTCCCCCGACTTATTCTGCCCTCCCTATAATTACATGGGGCCCACCCAGATCATCCCAGATTGCCCCCTATTTTGGTTTGGCTGCTTTGCGACCTTAGTCCCAGCCTGCAACCTGAATTCCTCTGTGCCACGTAATTTACCATATTCACAGGTTCCGAGGATTAGGACACGGACATCTTTGGCGAGTCATGATTCTGTCCACCACAGGGTACGAGCTCTTTCTCTGAAGAAGGAGGGCCTGTGGGTCTGGGTGAGAGGCCTCTCAGGCAGTTACACTGCAGCCAGATTGACCCTGACATGAGCAAATGCACAATCAGTGTCTCGGCCAAGTCATTAGAACAGTGGCTTCAGCATCAGACAGCCCTGGCTGCACCTAGCAGCTCTTGCCTAAGCCGTGTGAACTTGGACAAGTCTACTCACTTCGTAGAGCCTAGGTTTCCTCATCTGTGCCATGGGGATGATAATGTGAAAATCAGACAAAATAGTGCAAGTAAAATGGCTAGTGCCTTGCATACCTTAGTGCAGATAGCTGCGTTCTTTACTGTCGTCATCCAGGATGACCTTTCTGTCCCCTGTCCCAGACTCAGGAGTGGGTTTCTTGTTGGGCTGCCCTGAGCAGTTAACACGGGGAGCTGTGTTCCACGATAAAATGGCGACTTCTCGCCCTACCCTGAGCGTTGACTTATGTAGTGGCTGAACGTGTTACTATATTCCGACCCCCAGACTTCGCCCCTAACCCAGCTAACCTCCGTCTGCACTCTCATCTTCCCAGGTTGGTGGTTCGTCAGCACTGCCGAAGAGCAAGGCTGGGTCCCCGCAACCTGCCTGGAAGGGCAGGACGGTATGCAGGATGAGTTTTCCCTACAGCCCGAAGAAGGTAGGAAGGAGCTGGAGCCTCGCGCTTGCCGGAGAGACCTCTGCTGGTCCCATCACCCATGTAGGGACCTCCTTACCCAGCCCGTCCCTGCTCTTCAGCCTCTGCCCCCAAGTCCCATTGGCTCGCTGGCTCAGGACATGAAGCCAGGCCATGGGGTTGGGGCTGACAGCAAGCCTGCCCTTTCTTAGGGGCTTTTGGGAGCCAACCCAGGTGAGCCTGGCCAGAGCTGGGGCCCTAACACCTCCATGGGACCCGAGGAGGGCCCCAGGCTGATCACCGTCTGCACCTCACTATTCTTTCCTTGAACTATGCCGGTGGCCAGGATGCTGGGGCTCCTACCAGCTCATTTGCAAGACAGCTGAAGCTTTCTATAAGCTTTCTGTGCTTTCTCAGTGACCCGGGCATCAGGATTAGGGGGGACCCTCTCCACTTACACACACACACACTTCGTTTCTAGGAGAACGTACCCGCCAGGTGTCCCAAAGGGTAGTTCCTGCAAGGCCAGAAATACTACCACCCAACTGACTCCCGATTTCCCCACTAGGAGCATTCCTGAAACCAGAGGACAAGTTCATCTTAGCTAATAAACAGAAGGTTTTGAGAGCCAGACAGACCTGAATGTGAATCATCTCTCCCTACTTAGCCCCCTCCTCTAACAGTGGAAATGATGATGTCTATATCATGGGATTTTTTTTTCTTAATTAAATGAGATTCCATATGCAAAGCATTTGCCAAAGAAGCTGAAACAATAAATAACCAGGAACAGTTAATATACAGCTGTGCCTTATCCCGGATTGAACATCTGGGCCTTTTAGCTGACTGTTTGGGGGAAAGCACAAAACCATTTCTGTGTTTATCAGGAAAGAGGGTGAGAAGAAAGGGGATATTTCTGTGCTCAAAAGTTAACAAACAAATGTGTATGTGGCTTTGCATTTAGCGTTATTAGGGCCAGCACCCCTCAGAGGAAAACGTCTGTTGGGTTGCTCAGTTTTGTGGGGCCCTCCAGGCACTAGGGGCTGGGCCAACTAAAAGAATCAACTCAGATTCAGGGGTTGTGATATACTGCATTGAAACTGTAGCTCCCTTCGACAGTTAATGATGACCATTACGGGCATTCCTCTGTAATGGGATTGATGATTAACCCCATTTTACAGATAAGGAGACAGGCTCAGAGAGGTAGAGACACCTGCCTGGGGTCACACAGCTAGAAGATGGGAGAGATACCACATTTTCCTAAGTCTGTACATTTTTCTTCGCCCTGACACAAGGGCTTCCCTTAGTACCTCTTTGTAAGTCACGCTAGGAATAGAATTATGTCCATGGGGGCCTCTGCACCCAAGTCCAAGGTTAATACTCAAGAACTTGGTCCTTTTAAGACACCTGGGGCTTGGCATAGGCTCAGAAATAATTACTCCTAAATGGGAACACGTGCTTGGTGTCCCCTTTGCCTCCAGACACTGGAAGTGCTTTCTCCTCACCTCTGCCTTCTGCCCTTCACCTCCACATGCTGCCTGTCCAGTCTCGTGGAGGTACTGGTCTTTGCCCCGGCCCGTGGGCCGCCGCCGGACTCTGGGGGACTTGTATGCCATCAGCTGGCGTCAAGGTGCCTACCTTGGGGGTTTCTTCCCTGGTCGGTGTTTGGAGCCGGGTCCCTGCATCTGCATGCGCCTTCCTGCTCGGGGACTGTCCGTGCCTGTTGCATGTGAGGAACTGACCTAGTCTGTACCCTGTGTGTGTTGGCATGTAGGTCTGGGCAGTCTTTCTCAGCCTGGGGCTCTAAAGTTTCCCAGGTTAAAAAATAATGCCTGGGGCCTCTCTAAGGCTGAGCCAGTGACCTGTTTCTGTCATCAGACACATAATGAGGGAAAGAAAGCCATGTCAAACTGTCCCAAGCAAAAAGGAAAGTGTACTAGCTCATCCCTGAAAAGTCTGGGAAAGGACTAGCTACAAGCATGGCTGGATCCGGGGGCTTAAAAACGTTGCCGGGACCTCGGACTCCCTCTCCCCACTTCTGCTCTGCTGTCGGCCTTGCTGACACTGTTTTCTCATGACAGCAATTCCGGGTACCTTTCAGGGATTCAGGGATACCCACCCAAGGAAGTGCTTCTTCAACACAAGGCCTAGGACTGGGGCTGACTGACCTGCCTGGGTCACATGCTGTCCCTGAACCCATCACAGTGGCCAGGGGAATACAGCACTTTGGCCAGGGCAGGGTCATGCGTGCTCCCCCTCCCCCGAGCAGTGGTGAGGTCAACCTTACCCAGACTGTGTGGACAGAGGCTGGTGGCGCCAGCAGAGGAAGAGCAGACGGCTGCGAAACAGGCAGGGTCAGCAGGCACCTGCCAGCAGTCTGCGTGGTCTCCCACCTTGAGCTTTGTTAGGGATTGCTGAGTGTTTCATGGAGCCCAGGGAGACTGTCCCTGTGTAATTCAGCTGAAGGATTGGGCCTCACGGGAGTCCAGGGCCCACAGGACTGCCTGTATTTAGTCTAGGACCCAGGCAGCACCCCTTCCCCCCCAACCAAATAGAACTGCCATGCATCTGCGGGCTTGAATGACCCCCCTGCACCCTCACAGCTCCCACATCCCACCCTGCAGCCACCATGAGTGAGGGAAACAGCTAACTCTGCTGTACATGGGATCTGTGTAACTCGAGTCAGCTCAGCCCCCACAGAGCAGATCAGTGGGCTAGATCAATCAATAAATAAACTCCCCGCGTGTCTGCCACCTCCCTTGACACCAGTTGGACAGGCCACAGGCAGCCTGTGGTGTTTTCCCAGAGAGAGACCTGCCGTCAACACCCACGGCCCACAGCTGGCTCAGTCACTCCCTGGGGGCTGGAACGTAACCAAAACAGGAAAGCCCTTTCCTCTCCTTGCCTGGGTCCGCTGGGACACGCATCCGTTCTGTCTCAGCAGTCACTGCTGACAGGGTGGAGCATGGGAGCTCTTCTCTTGTTCTCGCGAGGACCCTGCCGGAGTGTGACAATGAGCAGTCTCCCAGCAGAGACTGAGCAGCGGTCCCGTGGCTTGGAGGGGAAAGAGTGGGGAACCACGGAGAGTGACCCAGTTACATTAATGAAAATTGAAGCAGGCAGTGATTTTACCATATGTGTGTGTATGTATATACGTGTGTGTGTTTATATATAAAATCATGATGTGGCACACTTAGAACTGAGACAGTGTTAAATGTCAATTATATCTCAATAAAAAAAACCCAAAACATTCAAAATAAAATTGAAGCTTCAGGCATGGTTGGATCCAGGGGCTTGAAAATAATTAATGAAAAACCAAGATCAGTTACCAGCTAGGTAACAAAAATTGCTTTAAAAATTAAAAAAAAAAAGAAAGATGGGGCACCTGGGTGGCTCAGTTGGCTAAGTGTCTGCCTTTGGCTCAGGTCATGATCCTGGAGTGCTGGGATGGAGCCCCAGGTCAGGCTCCCTGCTCCGCAGGGAGTCTGCTTCTCCCTCCTCCTGCTCATTCTCTCTCTCTCTTTCTCACTCTCTCTCAAATAAATAAATAAAATCTTTTAAAAATTTTTAAAAAGAAAGAAAGTTACTTGCTGTCACCTCCTTGATAGTGATTTCAGCCTGAAACTATCTGCTGCCAAAAATCCAGCTCTTCCCTGACCCCTCTACCAGCAGGAACTGTGGAGGAGCCACAGAAGAGTTAACCCCCTCTGGCATGAGCAAGGTGACTCTCACCAGGCCCTTCATTTACTAAATATTGACTAATTAAACAGTTACACAGTGTTCCCGGTGCCATGCCCCGTGCTAGAGACAGAGGAATGAATGAGACAGACAAAAATCCCTACCTTCATGGTGTTTATATTCTAGCAAGGAGCACAGACACAAAATGCAATAAATAAGTAAATTATATGCTGTGTTAGAAGGCAATTCCTGGTATGGGGGAGAAAATAAACCTACATAAGGGGGATGAGGATGCCATGGGTCTGAATACTGCATAAAGCAAGGTCCAGGAAGGTGATCTTGAAGCACAGCTTTGAGGAAGGTGAGGATGAATGTGTGACACTGAGGGATTTCAGAAGGATTGGGACCTGACCTTTGCCCTGCATCCTGTTCCTGCTTGCACAGGGTCATCCAGACCCAAATGAGGGCCTAGATGGTCCCCAGAAATTTCTGGAGGAAATCCTTCCCTCTGATGGGCAAGGCATCTCGTGGATCACAGCCTTGGCCATCAGCATCTCAGGACTCTCACAGTCCTTGACTTAACCCAGCATCCCTTTGTTCCCACAGAGGAGAAGTACACAGTCATCTACCCATACACAGCTCGCGACCAGGATGAAATGAATCTAGAGAGAGGGGCCGTGGTGGAGGTCATCCAGAAAAACCTGGAAGGCTGGTGGAAGATCAGGTACCTGCTGCAGCTGGATGGGTTTCAGGTCACACGGTCTCTGGGTGCCCAGAGGTCTATATGTGATTGCAGATGGATGGGATAAGGTTTTCACCTGAGCCATAAAAGGATGCTTCTCCTCGGTGCCCTTTGGCCTCCCTCCCTATCCAGATCCTTCTCTAAAAATCCATAATAAGCAAAACCTCCAAATACACAGATGGCAGTAACCCCATTGAGCAAGACTGGTTTCTACCTCCACGTGTTTCTCGTAAGGAGAAGCTGTGCTGCCCTGTGTGGGCGATTTCCCACCCCAGCCCTGCTCTGAGACCAGTACGATGCATAACACCGCAGGGACTGTAACTCATCCTCGAGCTGATCATGTGTCCTCATCTCAGAATCCAGTAGTAAAAGCAGGAGACTGGCTTTCAAGCTCTCTGTCACAGCTCTTTCACGACGTGATGAATCAGCACCCCACGATTACATAGGGTGACCAACTCATTCTGGCCTGCCTGGCACTTTCCCAGTTTTGGTAATGAAAGTCCTCCTTGGTCACCCCAGTAGGCGGCTGTGGCCACAAGAAATTAGAGCAAGGAAAGAAGCCTGAGGTCCCTGGGACCTGGTGTCTGTGCAGCGATGTGAGGCAGGGCATTAGGGCCACTCATAGGGGGCCAAGCCCGTGGCACTTCGTTCATTCACTCAACACACACACACCAAGAATGTGTTCCGGGCCAAGCCCTATTCTGGGAGTTGGGGAGTCGACAATGAGAAAGACATAGTCGTTCACAGCAGAGGCACAGAAATCAGGCTCAGTTACGGGGCAGAGTGGTCATGTGTGGGGATCTGGAGCACCAAAGAGGGGCTCCTCAGCCCGGGGGTCAGGAAGGCTTCCTGAGAGGGGGTGCTGAAGAACTGAGGTTTGAAGCAGGAGTGGGGACAGTGACACCTAACATAAGTATAGATGGTGTAAGCTACATAACAATTATCCCAAAATTTCATGGCTGTAGAATTCAGGAGTGGTTTCACTGGGTCCCTCATGAGGTTGCGGTAGGACATCAGTGAGGCGTGCCATCATCTGAAGGTTCAACTGAAGCTGGAAAGAGACAGAGCCCAGATTTAAACTAGTACCTTTCTCACCCAGAGCCACTCACTGCTGCATGTGTTGCTGTACTTATGGCTTTGTGACCTCAGACAGTCAACTGTTTCGTACTGAGGGCCTGGATCGGATGTAGCATGACGTTTTCCAGTGAGGACAAGATTTACTCCCTCTCAGAGGGTATTTTAAGATTGAAAGACATCAAATTCTGCAGATTCCTCTCTCCTAGAAATTGGCTTCCAGTTATAAAGGAACTTTTTGTCATCGAAACACAATGCCATTTAGTTCTTAAAGTGATTCCTGACAAGAGATTTGGCCTTGCCATATGTCATCTCTAGACATTTAGGTCTATTTAACTGTCCCCAAAGGCATGGGCACCTGTTTTGTGGGTCAGACCAGTGGCATGCTTGTAAATAGTTAACATCCAGTTCCCCAAGGGAATGCTGCCCTTGAGTTGTGGTGTTTGCCAATTTCTATAGGTGTAAATACTCCCATCAGGTGATTTCGGGCCATCCATGCAATGTCAGTAACTGTGGGGTTTGGAAGAGATGGACACAGTTGACTGTCACGAGCTGGTGCGAGTGGGCTCCGGTGCTCCTCTGGTCCAGCTGGACCCCTCCGGTTATGCTGTTAAACTGAGCTCCGTTGTGCAGACTTAAGTGATCATCTCACTCATTGAGTTCCTTTGGAATTCAGTGAGCTATCTGTCAGGGTCTCGGTCTCTGTGCGGTTCAGGGACCGCCAGCTGATTCTTAGCAAGCCCTGCAACCAGACCCTGACTGGCTTCGTTCCCCTCTGAAGGGAACACGCTTAATCTACTTGTTAACCCATGTGACCGGAGCCCGCCCTGCCCGTGCCAGGCTTTGTGCCAGAAGCGGGGGCTGCTGGGAAGAGGCAGCGACACGCAGAGGTTAGGAGCAGAGACTAGGTCTGAATCCATTTCTGCCGCCTCTCAGGGTTGGATGGATGAAATACGTCCCCAGCTATAAAGTGGTTGGAACAGACTGGCACACAGGAGGTGTGCCCACTAAGTGCCAGTTACCATTGTCATCATTGTCATTGCTGCAGTGACGGTAACGGGACAGCGAGCGTAGCAGGTGCTTTATGGCTGCTCGCCTTTGCCAGGCCCGTGGGCAGACTGTCCACTTGTCCTTTTATTTCTTCATTCCGTTCACTGGCCCCGAGGCTGTCGCCACACAGAGGTCGATCAGGTGCCATCTCTGCCCCAGGCCTGTGTGTTCTCACTGGGGAGACAGTGTCGCCGTGTGTCACAGGTGCTGGGGTGGTGGTGTGTGCGGGAGGCAGTGGGGCACTGTGGAGGGAGGGCTTCGTTCTCTGTGAGGTTCAGGAAAGGCTTGAGAAAGGAAATGACATTAATTAAGCAGAGCTGGGAAAGAAGAGCAGGGAGGAGAGTGGGAAGGGGCTTTCCTGACACAGGGTTTCCAAGAGCAGAGGCTGGGGAAGTGAAAGATGGTGGTGCATTTGGGAGACTACAAGCCTTACGGGGTGGGAAGGACATGGAGGTTGCTGTGAGGGATGAGGCTGGGAGGCCGGCAGAGGCCGGGTTGGAAAGGCCTTGAATGCCGAGCTGAGGGCAGCAAGGGGTATGCCAGCCTCTGGCCCATCGCTTCTGCCATCTGGGACATGAAGCACAGCTTCTTCCCAGGGGCCTGGTCGAGCAGCCTGTCCAGCATCCTTCCTCCCCCCAGGTACCAGGGCAGAGAGGGCTGGGCCCCAGCCTCCTACCTGAAGAAGAACAGTGGGGAGTCCTTACCCCCAAAGCTGGGCCCTGGCTCCTCAGCCCACAGCGGCGTCCTCGACCTGGACGGAGTTTCCCGGCAGCAGAGCTCAGTGGGCCGGGACAGGGAGCTGCTCAACAACCAGAGGGACGGCCGGTTTGAAGGCCGCCCGGTGCCCGACGGTGACATCAAGCAGAGTGAGTGATCACCCCCCGCCCCCGCAACCCCACCAAGCTCGTGCTTGGGGGGCTGTGTGCCTACTACGTGCCAGGCTCCATGCTCGGAGCTCCTCATATCCTGTAGACAGGAAATCCTAGGTAGCTTAATCTAGACCATGGTTTTCCCACCTTCTCATGGTGATCGAGAGAGCTACTGTTTCTCAAACCCTACAGTGTGTCGGGAATCTTATAATTAGTCTCACTGGCTCCTTGTAACGACTTTTGAGGGACTAAATTACTTTTGTTTTACAGATTAGGACCCAGAGACATTAGGTGGTTTGTCCAGGGCCACCCAGCTAGTAAACGGTGGGGCTGGGACTTGAACCCAGGCCCTCCTGACTCCAGTGCCTGTGCCCTCTGCATGGCCTCACTTCTGAGCCAGAAGAAGTTGACCTTGTGTTGAGTTTACTCTAACCACAGTTCTTTACCCATCTTCCTTTCCATAGCCTCCCATGTATATGTTTCTGTTTAATGTTCCCAACACACCTAAGAGTAGGCCTCCTTATTATTGTCTGCGACCTGCACAGGACCCCAGCCTCAGGCATGTGGCCCTGTCCTGGTTGGTTGCGCTTGGGGGGACGGTGGGGGGAAGGTCGAATGCTGGGATAGTCCCCTGCCTTCCCCCTGGCTAGGCTTCGGCTAGGCTTCAGCTATTTACAGTGGCTCAGAAAGCTGCTACAAGTCAGTGAATTCTTGAAACTCAAGAATTTCTCAATCCTCTGCTCAGCTGGTTTCTCAGAAGAAAACACTGACATGCCATGGTGGGGGCAGTTCTGGCGAGCCCCTGCTTTCTGTGGTTCTATCACAGACAAGAGCCCAGGAGGATTCCCATTAACACTAGAGCAAATGAGAATCTGAAACCCCACGTCTTCGTGAGGATATAGGTTCAGATGCTCGAGCAAAGATACTCCCCCTCCCCCTTCCACACACACACACCCAATAACAGGAGCTCAAATAATTTAGATGTTTGTTTCTTTCTCACAAAGTGGTCCAGCTCCATGTCCAGGGCTGCTATGGAAGCTCCATGAGTCAAGAGTCTTGTTACATGGTGTCTATCTTGTGTTGCCCTCCTCTTTCTAGTCCAAGATGGCGCCCCCCTCGTCCAGCCAATGAAAAGGCAGGGGGAAGTAGAGGTACACACTTTGCCCTCTGTCACATCCCACTGGCCAGAACTGAGTCACAGGGCAATACCTAGCTGCAAGGGAGTCTGAGAAATGCAGCCTTTATGTAGCAGCTAAGTGTCTGGCTAAAACTCTGTTGCTATTGAATTTTTTTTTTTTTTAAAGATTTTATTTATTTGAGAGAGAGAAAAAGAGAGACAGAGAGCATGAGAGGGAGGAGGGTCAGAGGGAGAAGCAGACTCCCTGCTGAGCAGGGAGCCCGATGCGGGACTCGATCCAGGGACTCCAGGATCATGACCTGCGCTGAAGGCAGTTGCTTAACCAACTGAGCCACCCAGGCGCCCTGTTTTTTCTTATTTTTTAAAGATTTTATTTATTTGAGAGAGAGAATGAGATAGAGAGAGAGCATGAGGTGGGGGAGGGTCAGGGGGAGAAGCAGACTCCCTGCTGAGCAGGGAGCCCGATGCGGGACTCGATCCCAGGACTCCAGGATCATGACCCAAGCCGAAGGCAGTCGCCCAACCAACGGAGCCACCCAGGCGCCCTGCTATTGAATTCTAACAGAAGACAGAGGAGATGGGTATTTAAGAGATTAGCAGTCCTCTCCACGTCCCAGCTGTGAAACTAGCCGTCTGTGTGGACTCGTGCTGAGCCAGCTCATGGGGTGACACATGCTCTGCCTTGAGCCAGGAGCCTGGACCACTGCAGTCATCCTCTTGACCCTGAGACCCTGAGCAAGGGCAGCCCGATTCCGGAGCAAAAAGCCCCGATGTCCTCAGTCTGAGTCTGTTTGGTTCTGCTTATATATTGTTTAATATTGCACGCCCTGCAGGTGCCAAGCGCCTGGTACGTACTGTTGACTTTCATCTCCGCGCTGGCCCTGGGAGGCCAGCATTATCCCCCTTCTACAGATGGGGCCTGTGGGTCAGAGTCAGATGGCTGGTGGCAAGCCAGCCCCCGTGTTAATACTGAAGCCTACGCTTTTCGGCCTCCGTGGAAGGCTTCACGTGGCTCCAGCACATGGGCAGTCGTGAGGGTCCTGAGCCAAGTCTGAGCAGCCCCTTCCTGGTCAGGCTGTTCCTTCCCACGAGAAGGGTCTCAGCGGCTCACTGATACCAGCCCGGAGCGTATTGCCAGATCCTCTGCAGGACAGAACGGATCTTTCCTGGTGTCCCCCACAGGAACTGCATCTGTAGAATTCTTCACCTGTGTGCAGTAAGATCTCATCTCTTTACAGGATCGCCCAAGATGAGGCAGAGACCGCCTCCTCGCCGGGATATGACCATAGTAAGTGGGCCGCTGCTGCTGGGAAGCCAGCCCCTGACCTGAAACGGGCCCCTCACAACCACCGTGCCCTTTCCAGAGACGCTGTCTTGCCTCTCCACACAGCTGCCTCATGAAGCAGGCTGTTCGAGCGCTGGTCCCAGCCCCAGGGGAAAGGCTAGGTTCCCGGGGGGGAAGCAAGTTACCTATGGCTTTGGGACAGTTAGGTCTCAGATGTGCTCTCTGCTTCCTGAGCTCACTTTGCTTTGTCTTGGATCAAAGAAGGTAACTTGAAACCTAAGCTCGGATGATGCACAAACATTGTGTGTGGTGCCATTCTGGTAACTTACTATCATACTCCATTTTTCATTCTTCAGATACCTTTCTAACCAATACTTTGAAAAATGAGCCTTCTGCCATTTATTAAGCATCAGTTGGGTGCCATGCAATGTACTGGGTGCTTCATGACATTAACTTATTGAATGCTTATAGTGACCCACCAGGTAGATCCCCATTCTACAGGAGATAAAACGGAGGCTCCAGAAGGGAAGTGATTTGCCCAAAGGCGCACAGCACACATAAGCAGTATTTCCAACCCAGATGGGTCTGACCTGCAAATCTGTGTTCTTTCCACAACCCTTGCTGCCTCTTGAGTTCAGAGACTATTGTCCTGCCTCAGATTTTCATGATTGTCAGTAAGTGTCCCATGGTTCTCCTCACTCAGAAGGTGGTGGGCCAGTGACCCATCTAGGAGATGATGATCTGAGTGGTCCTCTGTGTTTTGTCCCTTAGAATCCAAATGGGTCCAGCAGCACCCCTCAAGGGTGATTGTGTGCCCCAGTCCCTTAGCACCTCCCCCCTTCAGCCAATGGTAACAGATTTACCCCGGACTTAGCACTGTGTTTAATTGTACCAGCCTCGTGGTCTCAACCTGCCCAAGCCTCCCATTCCACCCCAAGTGGAGGAAGAGTATTACACCATTGCTGAATTCCAGACAACCATCCCTGATGGCATCAGCTTCCAGGCAGGTCTGAAGGTCGAGGTGAGTGGACCGGGTGTCCCTTTGCCTACTTGTGATCCTTGAGCCATGGCACCACCTCCTGCTTCTCTCATTTCTCTCCTCTCACCTCCTACTTCTTCCTTCCTCCTTCCTTCCTTTTTTTCTTTCCTTTCTTTCTTTCTTTTCTTTCCTTCCTTCTTCCTCTCCCTTTCCTTCCTTCTTCCTCTCCCTTTCCTTCCTTCCTTCCTTCCTTCCTTCCTTCCTTCCTTCCTTCCTTCCTTCTTTGCTTCCTTCTTTCCTTCCATTCTTTGTGACAGCTTTACTGAGGTATAATTCACACCATGCAATTCACTGATTTAAATTATACAATCCAGTGGTTTCTGGTCTATTTAGAGTTGTGCAGCCGTCACCACGTTCAGTGTTAGAACATTTTCATCACCTGAAAAAGAAACCCTGTACACATTTACTGTCACTCCCTGTTTCCCCTCAGTCCCTCCCAGCCCCCCTGCCCCCAGCCCTAGGCAACCACTAATCTGCTTTCTCTCTGTATAGCTTTGCCTGTTGTGGACATTTCATGTAAGTGGAATCATATATTGTGGGATCTTTTGTGACTGCCTCGTATTCTGTTTTTATCACCACCTACTTCCCTTCTTGCTTCTCTCTCTCCTTTTCTTCCCACTCCTTTGCTGGTCTGCTCCGTTCCTGCACAAAGGCCAACGTAAATCCTTTCTCCCCTTCCATTTCTTTTCTTTCCTCATGGAGTTAGAGGCTGTTTCCCGTGTTTCCTGGAGAGCCTGTAAGTAATGGTGGAGCAATTAGGTGCCAGGCACTGAACTGAGCACTTCACATACAGCCTCTCTCTTAATCTTTTACTCTTGCGAGGCAGGACCATTAACAATCCCCATTTTTCAGATGAGGAAGCTTTGGCTCAGGAAGAAAGGTGCTGTCCAAAATCACACAGCTAAAACGTGGCAGAACCAGGATTTGAACCCATGTCTGTCTCCAGATTTGAACCAGGAGTGTTAACATCCTATTGTTATTGATCTGCTGGACATTTGGGAACTCCAGGAGGGTGGAGACCGTATCTGTTTTTCTACTCCTGTATCCTTACAGCCAGCACAGTGCTTGGAAGAAATATTGTTGAACTGATGAAAATTTGTCTGCCCACTAGCCTCCTGCTTAACACTCAGAAGACCAGCGAGTGTCTTCTTCGTTCTTGCCCATAGCCCTAGCATCCGGGTTGGTCCACAGTAGGTGCCTAGTAAACCGTTGCTGTAGGAATGAATGTTGGGATGATTGAAGGAAATAAGGAGTAAATGGATGACTGTTATCAGTGCATAAGTGTGGTATGCCCTGAGGGTCTTTAATCACTCTCTTAAGAGATCTGCAAAGCGCCCACTGTTTTCCCTCCAGCCCTGACACCTCCTGCCTCTCTCTCTTTCCCATCACACCCTCTTTCCCATCGTGCCCTGGGCCAGCTGCCCAGTCAGCTCAGCAGAAGGTAGCTTCCTAAAGGTGTATCCTGGGCCTCATCACCATTGATTCTGCCCAGGTCTCTCCAGAAGCTTGTCCCCAAGCCAAGTGTCTTTCAACCCATTGAAGGAGGGCCGTCTGCAGGGACGTTTAAAGAGCTTGAGCTAAAGTCTCTCAAACTAATTTTTATAAAATGTAAATCCCAATCTATGTAGATAGACTGAGGGGAAAGCAGAAATACCCACAAAGCTCTAAAAGGGTGTTTCTCCTGCCCTTTCTTTTTTCCATCCTGACCCTCCCAACTTCAAATCTACAGAGAGAACTCACAAGGCATCTTGCTTGTGCTACAAGATCATTCTATGCCCAGGTCCCCCATTTTGCTGCCGTAAAACTTATACATCCAATTCTCACGTGAAACATGTGACTTCTCCCTAATATCTTTTCACCTCTAAGACCTTCCTCCAAACAAAGTCTGTTCCCGTTGCTTTTCTGCGATCCCCGCTGGTCAAGCTGGCCCTTCCCCAGCTCTCTCTACCAGGAATGACCTTGCTTTAACCCAGCTCCTAGCACTCCACCTGCCTTCTCATAGAAGGCACTCAAGGTCATTTTTTGAATTGAACTTGGCATCTCAAAATCCAACTTACTCTTCAAATCCCTACTTCTTCTGCGAAGCCTCCCCTGATTCACATTGGTTTCCCTGCCCTGCCCCGTATGGCTTCTCTGGGGCCGTATATCTCAGTCTTTAGTTGAAGGCAATCCCTCACTTCTGTACAGTCTTTCTTTCTTTTTTAAGATTTTATTTATTTGAGAGAGAGAGAGGAAGAAAGCACAAATAGAGGGGAGGGGCAGAGGGAGAGAGAGAAGCAGGATCCCCGCGGAGCAAGGAGCCCCATGTGGGGCTCAATCCCAGGACCCCGGGATCATGACCTGAGCCGAAGGCAGACACTTAACCGACTGAGCCACCCAGGCGCCCCCTGTACATGCTTTCTTGACATCATAAGAAGTGAGTGTGGTTTTCCCCTCCTTCTTCAGTGATGTTTTGGGTTTTGTCTTTCAAATTGAAAGTCCTCTTCCCTTGGCACTTTGAACAGAGTGCTCTGTTCTCTTCTCACATCTAGTGCTACTACCTACCTAATGCTTCTTGTCTTGTTCGGTATCTGTCCTTTCTCCGATTTTCTCAGGAGTTCCTCATTATCTTTAATAAGCTGGAATTTCACTAAAGTGTGTCTCTTTTTATCCTGCTCAGCACGTGGTGGGCCTTTTTGATCTAGGCCTCAGGAGATCTTCCCAGAGAATTCCCCATTTTTACTTTTTTAAATATTGCGTCCCTTCACTCTCTTTATTCTTTCCTCCCGGGGCAGTTATGATTACACAGCTGTGCGACCTTCTGGCCCTCCTCTCCACGTCTCTTAACTTTTCTTTCACATTCTCCATCTCCGTGCCTTTGTGCTGCATTCCTGGAGCATTCTGCTTCACCTTCTAGCTCCTTAGTTGGCTCTTTAACAGTTGGGTTCGTCACTGATTTTACCTCAGCAATTGTAATTTCCATGTCCGAGAGCTCTTACCGATTCCTCTTCCAGGTCGCTTGCTCTTGTTTCAGCATAGCCTGTTCTTTTATGAATGTGATGCCCTTCTGTACCTTTCTAAGGGTACTAAGTATGTTGAATTTAAGGTCCTATTATTATAGCCCATTACCTCTTTTCTCAGTTGTACATCCTTTGCTGCGGCGTGGGTGTTTATCTAGGTTCTTCTCATGGCGTTAGTACCGGCCTTGGGCTGCGCAAGACGAGGCAGCAGTCAGACAGCCCAGCTGGGGCGTGTACACAAGGTGCTAGGCACCTGCCAGGGGTTTCAGCGCCAGGTGGGGGGCTCCTGAGCCAGCCACTGAACGGTGTTGGGTGTCTCTGATCCAAGCTCCCACATTCACTGCATGCACTTGTGAGCAATCGCCGTCTTTCTTCTGCCTGCCCTATAAGAATGGGATAAGGGGCATGAGAGGTCACCCAGCCTGGCTGCCTCTGCCATGGTGTGTCAGTTCATTCCCTGTCACTTGCTCCTGCACCTCGCTATACCCAGGTTCCACCACCTTGAAGTCCGGGGGGGCCTCAGCCCTCCTCCACCTTCTGTAGCAGGTACCCCTGCAGCGGTCCTGGGCCACACAGCCTCCCTCTGCTGCTTCTCTCCATCTGTGAGTGCTCACAAGTCCTGGTCCACTAACTTCCCCCGCCCCACCTCCTCCTTCTGAGCTGGGCTCTGTATTCATTTATTTCCCTGGATTTGTTAGATAAAAGGGAAGCTGCTATTCACTCTATCTCTCACGTTGAAACCAGAAGTCCACCTTGGATAGCATAAAGGTTTGGTTTGTTTTTTTTCCCTCAGAGCAGTGAAAAACTCGATAAAACTACCTTGTCCTTTAAGCATTTTGTACAAACACACCGTTGTTCCAAGCATGCTGGCAATCTGAACATTTGCCGATAGGCACCACTACTCCCTGGCTCAGAATGTTCTGAAATCAGCCAAGGGCAGCTCAGGATGTCGTCGACAATGCACTGAAGCCGCGGGCTGAGTCTGCATGCAGCAGTTCATGGGTCCCTGGGGCTTTCTGGGGGTGTTGGGAGCCTCCCTCCTGGCCCCACCCCCACTTCAACTAGAATCAATCCCCTTTTTTATTTCTGGCTTTATCTGATCTGTCTTTGCTAAAGCTAATCCAATAAAAAAGCTCACATAGCCAACATTCTTTTAACTGAACCTTGAAAACTTCTCTGCTGATTGTTCCATGATGTCAGCCTATGGTTCTGCCAGTGGTAGCTTGAGGGACCCAAGTGGGACGTAGTTGCCACTAAAGTTTTTGGCTTTACCAGGGCGCCTGGGTGGCTCAGTCGGTTAAGTGGCTGCTTTCGGCTCAGGCCATGATCCCAGGGTCCTGGGATCAAGCCCCGCATCGGGCTTTCTTGCTCAGCAGAGAGCTTGCTTCTCCCTCTCCCTCTGCCTGCCTGCCTCTCCCCCTGCTTGTGCTCTCTCTCACACTATCTCTGTCTCTGTGTCAGATAAACAAAAAATAAAATCTTTAAAAAACATAAAAATAAAGATTTTGGCTTTACCAAGTATTCTTCTCTCATGAGCAATTCTGTACTTGCTAATATTTTCCTTTTTTCCACTTTTGATTCCTGGTTCATTTCAATGTCATCATAACCTTCAGAGTTCTTTAATGGGGCCACTGTGGTCTAACAGTGCAGCTGCTGGGAGTACCTTAGTTCCCTACCTGGTCTGTGTATGGTCAAGACATGTGTTGATGATAATGATGACGAGGCTTGTATAGAAACCCTCTGTGCCAGGTGCCGTACCTACTTGAGAACTAGTCTTCACAGAAGTCCCAAGAGGTTGATATCTTTAGCCCATTTTACAGATGTACCTGAGACAAAGCCCATTGCCCAGGGTTCTATAGCTAGTAAGCTGTGGAGCTGGAATTTGAACCCAGGTCTCTGTGGTTTTAAAGCCCAGGCTCTTTTCCTTCCCCTCCATTCTTGTGATTTGGCATTTGCTTTTATTCATAATAGTTCTTGGCTTCTCTCTAGTAAATGAAAACTCCCATAAATTGTGATCAAGAACACAAATGTTTGGAGCTTCTGCCGTAGTATTTGCATAGAGTGTAAGCTTAGCAAATCCCCATTCATATATTTCCCTGTGATTATTGTCCTATTTTCATTTTCTCACATACGCAGAGTTGAACTTGTGGCTGTGCCGATAGTAACTTATAGGCCCAGAATCACTTTGTTACCAGAGCTACCGAGTGTGGTGAGACATCACGTAAAGGGCTTGCGTTTATCAGTACCCTTTCTGGGAAACACCTGTTACGTGCATCCTGCCTTGTCAGTGATCTGCACTGTAGTTTAATAATGGGGAACATTTACCTTTCAGCATGTATCGAGGGCTGTTGTCTGCGTTAGCTTATGTGGTCATCGTGAAAATCCTGCAAGTGGGTGTTACTGTTCTCACCAGCCTCCCCATCTCGGGCTGTGGGATCTCAGGCACGCGGCTTGCGCAGGGCCATGCAGGCAACAAAAGGTGGAGCCAGGACTAGAACCCAGGTTGCAGGCCCCAGAGCTCAGCCTCTGCTTCCTGCGCTGGGTCTGTGGCTGCCACTCCTCTCAGGCTGGGCTGGGCGGGGCGGAGGGAAGCAGTGGCAGGACCTCACTCGAGGCCCCCTTCGCCCCCTGCACTTCCCCACCTCAAGCACGGCTCCTCCCCCGGCAGGTCCCCTTGCCCGGGCATGGTCGAGGAGTGGTAAAGGCTCGGACTCTGGAACCTACCGACCCGCCTTTGACCCCCACCTCCACCGTTAACCTTCCACATGACCCTCTGCCAGTTCCTCAGTTGTCCTGAGGCTCAGTTCTGCATCTGTAAAATGGGATGATAATCCCCATCTCATAAGGCCGTTGCAAGCATTCATCAGACCTCGTAGGCATGGGGCCCGCCAGGGAATCGCGGTGTATTTGCTCCGGCTGCTGTCATGAAATGGCGTAGGCTGGCCAGTTTAAACAACGGATATATTTCCTCACGGCTTTGGAGGCTGGAAGTCCAAGGTCAAAGTGGCAGCAGGTTTGTTTTCTCAGAGGCCTCTGGCCTTGGCTTAGAGGCAGCTGTCTTCTTGCTGTGTTCACACGTGGTCGTCCCTCATTCTGAATGTTCTCTGGGTCCTAATCTCTTCTTATGAGCACACCAGTCATGTTAGCTCGGGGCCCACCCAGATGACCTCATTTTGATTTAATTACCTCTGAAAAGGTTCTTTCTCCACATACAGTCACATTCTAAGATACGGGAGTTAGGGCTTCAACATACGAATTTGAAGGGGACACAGTTCAGCCCATAACATGCGAGAGACACACCTTTCGGGCACTTTAGCTGTACAGTACTGAACAAAGAGGAGACGGGAAACGTGAGACCTTAAATTCCGTGACTGACTCCGCCCACTGTTCCATTCAGTGGGTGTATATCCCAGAGGGAGAAGGAGATAAGATGAAAGTTTCTTTTGCCCTCATCAGCAGGGGTTCCCTCTATCTAAACCCGAGCTGAATGTTATGCCCATGTTTAAGGGCATGCATTTTTGGTACTGCGTGGCCTCTGAACACCAGCCAGCTGCATCATCTGGTGCTCAACGGAAAGAGCCACAATCAAGGCTAGCTTTGGCTGTGTGGATTTTGCCTTGTACTTCTTTAGAAACGTAGCTGACACTGCTGGTGGCCTGCCCTGCATCCCGACCCACCCGAGTTGACCTGCAGCTGCACACGGGTCCCTCTATCAGACAGCCTCCCATCTCCTCCACCTGCCTGAAGGCACCTGCCCAGAAAGGCCAGGGGGATTAATGCCCCAGGGCGGCTGGGGACTAGGAATTGGGAGGTAAACGGCCCCAACCCCCAGTTGGGATGAGTCTGCGTGGTCTCAAAGGGTCCCTGGCTGATTAAGTCCCAGTGGCCCAGAACAATAACTTCATAATTGGCTCTCTCTTTCCCATTTCTTTACTTGCGCTTCTTGAAATCCCCTCTCAAATTAATTACCTGTACCCAGGTCCATGTCTCCAGAACTGCTTTCGGGGATATCCAAAATTAGACAAGAACCTACCCCCGTGTAAGATGCTTCTGATACACAGTAAAGTCTCCATAGATGGTCCATCCCAGCCATTGTCTGGGAATCTGCTGAGTGAAAAATCCCTGTTTCTAGAATCCAGTTACATGTGGGTTTTCCCAGAGTCTTCTGGTTAACTGGCCCTGAGACTTTACCTACTAAGTGCTCTCCTCTGTCCTCCCCACTCCAGGTGATCGAGAAGAACTTGAGCGGCTGGTGGTACATTCAGATTGAAGATAAGGAAGGATGGGCCCCAGCAACCTTCATTGACAAGTATAAGAAGACCAGCAATGCCTCAAGACCCAATTTTCTGGCTCCGTTGCCCAACGAGGTGACCCAGCTCCATCCAGGGGATGCAGCAGCCGTGGAGAACAACACGGGCAGTGAGACCATCGGCCCCTCCCGGCCCCTGCCCGATGCACCACACGGTGCCGTGGACTCCGGGTTGCCGTGGTCCAAAGACTGGAAGGGTGGCAAGGAGGCCCTGAGGAAGGCCTCTTCCGACATGTCCTCATGTGCCGGCTACGAAGAGATCTCAAGCCCCGACCTGGAGGAGAAGCCCAGCCTCCCTCCCCGCAAAGAATCCATCATCAAGTCGGAAGGGGAGCTGCAGGAGAGGGAGCGGCAGAGGATGGAACAGCTCAGGGGCTCCTCACCCAAACCTCCAGGCATGATTTTGCCAATGATTCCAGCTAAACACACCCCCCCAGCCCGGGACAGCAGGAGACCAGAGCCCAAACCTGACAAAAGCAAGTTGTTCCAGCTGAAAAATGAGATGGGGCTGGAGTGTGGCCACAAGGTATTGGCCAAGGAGGTGAAGAAGCCCAACCTCCGACCCATCTCCAAACCCAAAGCCGACCCATCAGAGGAGAAGACAGAAGTTATTCCCCAAAATCTCTTCTTGAAGTCCAAACCTCAGGTTAGGCCCAAACCAGCTCCTTCCCCCAGGACAGAGCCACCTCAGGGTGAAGATCAAGTGGACATCTGCAACCTCAGGAGTAAGCTGAGGCCTGCCAAGTCCCAAGAGAAGCCCTTACTGGATGGAGAGAGCAGCCACCAGGCTGCCGGGGGCCAAGATGTGGCCTTCAGCCGGAGTTTCCTCCTAGGTGATGGGCCTGGCCACACCCAGGACAGGACGGGCAAACAGGATGGGCTCAGCCCAAAGGAGATGTCCTGCAGAGCCCCTCCAAGGCCAGCCAAGACCACAGATCCTGTGCCTAAGAGTGTGCCCGCCCCTCTCCAAGAGGCTCCCCCGCAGAGACCTGTGGTCCTACCCCGGAGACCACCCCCCCCCAAGAAAACCTCCTCATCCTCCAGGCCCCTCCCAGAGGTCAGAGGTCCACAGCGGGAAGCCAATGAAGGCAAGGCAGCTCCTGCCCCAGGCCGGGCACTGCTGGTCCCTCCTAAAGCCAAACCTTTTCTGTCCAACTCCTCAGGCGGCCAAGATGACATGCGAGGCAAAGGTGGTCTGGGACCACGGATGGTGGGCAAGATTGGAGAAAACAGGGAGAAAGTAGCTGCAAGCCCCATTCCCAACGCTGATGGCCCGAAGGATTCTTTATATGTGGCCGTGGCCAACTTTGAAGGAGACGGAGATACCAGCAGCTTCCAGGAAGGGACGGTGTTTGAGGTCCGGGAAAAGAACAGCAGTGGCTGGTGGTTCTGCCAGGTCCTGAGCGGGGCCCCTTCCTGGGAAGGGTGGATTCCTTCCAACTATCTCAAAAAGAAGCCGTAGCCGCCTCCTTCCCTGCCTGGCGGTGCTGCGCATCCCTGCTGGCTTTACCCACATATTTAATATGCCTCTTAATTTATCATCCTTCATGCAGCTTCAAAGGAAGGAAGACTCTGGAGTACTGTGGTTTCTTCCCTCCCTTGGGTGGAGAGGAGTCCCTCCCACCACAGCATGCCCTGGAGGCTCAGAGGCCCCACCCCCTGCTTCCTATCCACGCCACCATCCCTGCCTTCCGGCTGGTGGCATTGTAGGCCACCTAGCAGCAGGACCCTGACTCTCCAAGGCCTCCAAGACCAGAACCATTGTCTGGAAACTGCAGAAGCAGTCTCGTTGCTGGTACCCCACCCAGTCTGTGACGGCTGGCTCCAACTACTCCGTGTTTCTAAAAGTCCAGGGACTTTATTTACTCCGTTTCCAAAACGCTTGGTACCAGAAAGAACTCCATGCCCTGGCAGTTGGCTCCATTGCCAGTCCCAGAGAGATGTCCTCCTCGAGGCTCTGGGCCCATGAGCCTCTCAGGTTCAACCAGATGCAGCTGCCCCAGGAGTGGGCCTGAAGGTCCACTGAGCCATTCTGCCTCCCATCTTCTGTCTTGGGACCCTGACAGATCCTAAAGGGGTGCTTCCAGCCCCAGCATGCTTCACTTTCCCCGCGCAGGGCTTTTTAAATAGGAATCTCCACCCCACCTTGGGCCATTTCACTTTTGTCTCCGTCGAGCAAGAATCTCCAAGTTTGTTTGAAACGAGCCGTTCACAATCCACACCCCTTGTGAGCACCCTTTTGCTGAGTAGCTAACAGGTGCCAGACTCTGTCCTTGGCACTTGACACTCTTATTTTAACCCTCACATCAGTCCTCTCTTGGGATATTGCACCTGTTTGATGGACAGAGAACCTCGGACTCTGTGCCCAAGGGCACACTAGCTAGGAAGAAGGGGAAAGAGGACTTGAGCTGGCCTGACTTCCATACCTGTGCCCTCCCCCCAGTGGGAGGCTAACCAGGCAGGGAAAGGAAGACGCTGACCTCCAGGAGCAGGTGGCCAAGTGGCTTGCTTGTTGTGTGGGCGAAGGGGCATTAGTGGCTGCTCCCGTAGCCACCAGCCCTCCGACCCACTGCAGCCTACACTGAGGGGTGCCCCGCACCCTCCACAGCTCCTCCTCCATGGCCGCGGGGGTGGGGGGCAGTTTGCCCAGAGCTCTGGCGGTTGCCACAGGGCCTCGTTTCCTGCTGCTGTGCAGGTGCCCCCTCTGGGGGATAAAGCCTGTGGAGCTGAGGTGGTCTCCCGTGCCAGCCTCGAGGGGCCCTGATGGCGCAAGGACCAGCAGCTGGATGGCCACAGGCGGACTGCTGCCGCTTCTGCTCCTCTCTGGCGTTCATAGAATACTTTCCTCTATTTCCTTTTTGTGCGTGCCCTCTCCTTGTCTGTCCTCTCACTTCCATCCGGACAGAAACGGTTCACCGAGGCGCACAGAGGCACAGTGACATTGCAGAATTAGAATCAGGACCCAGGATTTCTGGCTCCCAGCCCAGAGTTCTTGCCCGTGGGCCAGGCTGCCTGGCGGGTGAGAGGGCACAACCCCTCTTCATCCCACCTTGCCCTGCAGAAGAGGATCCAGCTCAGAGATCTCCAGTTGAGTGTCCATCTGCTGTGATGCTCTGGGGACCACAGGGCCAGCTTTCCCGGGGACGCCCACTGTCCGCCTGCAGTGCCAAAGATTTCGGTGCAAACAGCCCTCTTCTGCTCTCCTCTCTCCCCATGGCCACATGGACTCTGGATGCTTCTACAGGAGAAGGAGCGTTCTCTGATTCACAGTAGCATCTTTATTCCTTCCTTCAGTCGGTCTGTGAACCCCATCCCCGAGGATCTTGGGCACAGGGCCCTGAGGTGCTTCTGGCAATACCCACTTGCCCCTTGGCCCTGTGCCCAGAACCGTGGGGGAGGATGGCAGGGGAAGAAGGGAGGCTGGGAGAGGGCCACCCACGTCTTAGAGGTCCCCTCACTTGGAAGGAAGCCCATAGCATGTTTTCCAGAGTTTTTGACCCACTTTGGCTTAAACAGCTTTTATGAAGCTGTGTTATGCAGGATTTGACTACACTTCAAAAGACAGAACTCAGCCTTTTTTTTTTTTTTTTTCCTGATTCACTCTCTGCTTTCTGTGACCTTTTCAAGTATTTTGTGAGCGCCTACCACGTGCTAGGCGCTGGGTAGCCCAGGATCCATGTGGCTCCCTGCCTGCCTCTGAGCTACGGTTTTTGTTTGCTGCTTTCACACAAAGGGTTTATCTTTGGCCTCGTTCCCTCCTCCTGAAGGTCAGCTGGGTGGGAATAGACTGGTTCCGCCTTTCTGTGGGCAGAAGTGTTCCTGCAAATGAAAGAACTTGCCTTTTTACTTTATTATTATTATTGTTGTTATTCTGATGTGAACTGAAGGTACTGAAGCCAATTCCTCTCTGTTCACCGTTCTTTGCTCAGGACACATCCATGGCCTGAGGACTCGTCTCTCGGGCTCCGTGTGCCACAGTGGTGGGCACTTGCATGGGCAACCGGAAGTGGGGAGTCTGGTGGCCGGTGGCTCTCCCTGGCTGTCCTAGCCGGACGACTTAGCTTTACGGCATCTAGCCCTGTGGCCGCCATCCGGTGAGCAACCGATGGAGACTACGCAAAACTCCCCTGAAGTTACGCCCACAGAAAATGGCCCAGACCACAGGTATAACTCCCATGTCAAGCTCCAGGCAGGTCCCTGGTGCTTCAGCTCCCTCCTCTAACTTAACCCTCACGACAGCCCTATGAGGTGCATAGGATCAGCGCTCAGCTGTGGGGAGAAAGTTGAGGTTCACAGGGTGAAGTCACATGCCCAGTTTCATCCAAATCATGACCACGCTGAGACTTGAATCCAGGGGTGCCTTCTCCCCGGTGCCCGTGACTGTTCCTCTGCTAACGGCAGCAAAATGTGCATGGCATTTCCAGGGAAGCAGGGGACCCTCCCTCATAATTTAAGTTTCTACTCCCTTCACCCCATGATCACCCAGGGCAGGAGGTCACAGGCCAAATGCCAGCCCTAAAGGCGGGCATGTAAAAACCATAGCTTATACTGCGGCTAAATCTTTGGAAAATCTGAGTTTTAGGATCACCACTTGGCAAAAGAGGCCTTCGCAAAATGTTTCACTCAAAATCTCTGCCATTTGATGGGTTTATGTCATTGTCCCAGGCTGAGGCGGGGGAGCTGGGCTCCAACTTGAACCACTTTTAATGCCCTACCTCACTGAGGAATTGCTAGAGCCCTTAGCGGGTTTCCAATAGTCACTTTAAGCCTCCACCACACGGCCTCCCCACGTCACCAATTTCTTCGGCTAAGTTCTTGGCCTTAAAACATTTCTGAGTCCACTGGGGATCTCGTTACCAGGTGGAGTGTAGGAAAACAAACTTGCCACAGGAAAGGACAGGTGCCGAATCTCCCCACGTTTTGGAAGGTCCTGAGGCTGAGGCATGGACAGTCTATATTGACACAGCCTGCATCAAGTACAAAGCACTGAGTGGGTTAAAGAAGAAGTTGCGCCTGTCCTCCAATAGCTGGTAACTCGACGTCACCAAGAACAGGAACATTTGTGGCTTGGCTGCCATCCTTTCATTGTGCCCAATTCTCTAAGGGTTGGGTCAGGCTGCTCCCTGGGAGGTCTTGCCCTCCTCTTTGGACTGTGGCGGTGGGCACATAACAGCCTGAGCCGTGCGTGGCAGTCTTGTCCCTCCCCCTTGGTTGTCCCGGCCCATCAGAGTTTTTGCTGCAAACCAGCCATACCATACGATAGACCAAAGATTACCTAATGTCAAACCTTGTGGCCTGGAGGAGTGGGAAGCTGGCTCACATTGAGGCCTGAGGGTGTCGGATGCCCTCCGTCAGCCTGGAGGAATTGCTTCTAACTTGGCTGAGGTTCCGACATTTAGACAGACCACAGCCTGTGACAGTCCCGGAGTTGCAGAGCTAAAACCCAGAGGCTCCTCGGTCTTCACCTGCTCCTGGACCCCCTACTGGGGACCCTTCCCACAGACTCGAACATCCAGCTCCGTGGGGTAATGTCTGGTTTCGGGTGCTACCCTTCTCATGCGTCAGCATTCCCTCTTTCCTTCCTGTCTCCGTCCTCCACTCCAAAGTAGGCTCTCAGCGCCAGTCAGGACAAGTGACTCAACTTCTGTTGTCTTTGAAGAGGCCACACCCAGTAGCCGTCACTTTCAGGCCTTCTATAAACGTCCCAAAGGAGGGGCCCCCCCACCAGGCTTGTTACAGCAATAAGCAATTCTGACATAGCCAAGGTGTCCATACTTTCCCCCCGTGTGTGCCTGTCTATGCCCATGTAACTGTTAATAGTACCCCTTTCACTCGTGCAGGGGAGATGATAAACCATGGTCACCTTAGCTGTCCCCACATTTCCCGCTTCCGAGCACCACCAAGTCGCTAGGGCCATTTCGTGCATCCCTCCAGGAACAGTGGAGCTCTGACAGCCCCGCCACCTCATGTCCGCTCATAGAGTGACGCTGGAGATCCCGGAGTATCACGGCCCTCCTCATGCCCTCTTGGCAGACTGACAAATGCTGGTGGTGGTTTTTGTTTCCTGTTAACACACAAAAATACGTGAGGCTATAAATGTGAGGGGGGTGGGCTGGCGAACAATTAGCTCTAGCATGTATAGACTATATACCGTTAGACTTTCTCTTCTTTCTTTTTTTTTTTTTAATAAAAATGCTTGACTGGTTTCAAGCTTCATTGTGAAGATGCAGTGTCTATGGATTTCATTTGACTAAAGAAGAGGCTCATAGCTTTGTGCCCTGGCATCTTGGACTCGAGTTTGGGGCTCAAAGAACAGAAGCCTGGGTGAGCTGTTTGGGCAGTAAGGGTGACTCCTCTGTCTGGGTCCTAGTGCATCTTGATTCTTTGAATGACGGTGTCCAGAAACTAAGGGAAAGCGTCCCTGTATTCACTGGGTATCTCCCACATATTCTCAGCTCTGTGCCTAAAGATGGAAAGCTTCACCCATTTAAGGTGTCTTGAACCCCTCACCAGTGTTGCCTACTGCTGGGCCAAGAGTGTGTGGTGGGGGCCAAAGGGGGCAGCCACGCTTGGGCTGCAGGGACTGCTCGCACCATCCGCTCCTGGGAGGTAGAGGGCATTGCCTGATGTGTTACTACTTTCCCAAGGGCAGAGGCGAGGCCAAACCAACACCCAGTGTGGAGCCTCCTTGGCCTCAGGTGAATCATTAAACAAAATGTCACCACCGCCCACCTGCCTAGGGAGAGAAGAATAGAACCAGCAGAGTCCCGGACAGAAGAACATCAAAAGGGGAAATTTACATTCCGTAGTCATCCTCCCTTTCAAAGAATGCAATGACCACCTGACCGACCTTGCTTAAGAATAATAGTCATTCCTGTATTAATCTCTGTTCCCCTAAAAAGGAAAAATCATGATGTGCTTCAGCCACCGCCCTCCCTTGGGAGCATTTTCTCCCAAATCTTTCCAAACTAACTGTGGTCCTTCATAAGAATACAACTGGGAATGGCATGGGATTCCTGGAGCAGGCATGCAGGGGCACCTGACCCTCCCCTCATGGGATGGGATGGGATGGGGACTGGACCGTGGTCAGGAGCCAAGCCTGACTTACTCTCAGGAGCTGCTTACCCATTGCCTTCAGGTCTCAGTTGGAACTGGCACATTCGCCATTCCCTTTATACTGCTTCAGAAATGCCAGGCCAAATGCAATCCAACTGTGCCACACACCTTCACACACGTTCCCTCCCACTCTCCTTACCATGACCCTCTAAGGGGTCACGGTAAATCTGTGTGTCCAAGACTCAGGTCGTGCGGCCACTCTTCTCCAAATCCAGGGTGTTTAGTGTCCATCCCTTCGCTAGTTAGTATCCATCTGGTCCAGCTGTGGTTCCTCACCGTCTGGTAACCTGTGCCTCCCAATCAATGGTTCTCAAGTTTTAGTGACCATACAACTTAGCAGGGAGCTTGTCGAAGTCCACGCTCCTGGGCTGCAACCCCTGAAAGTCAGAGTCGGCAAAAACCTGCATCCTTTGAAACTGTGTTGTGAGGAAGTGGTCTCCATACTCCACTTTTGCGAAATGGCCAGACTCCGCACAGTGCCTGGCATGTCTAAGTGTTCAAAATGGCACTTTATATGGGATGCCTGGGTGGCTTAGTCGGTTAAGTGTCTGCCTTCGGCTTAGGTCCCCAAGTCATGGGATTGAGCCCCACGTTGGGTTCCCGGCTCAGTGGGGAGTCTGCTTCTCCCCCTGCCTGCCGCTGCCCCCAGCTTGTGCTCTCTATCCCTCTCACTCTCTCAAATAAATAGTCTTTTTTTTTAATATGGCGCTTCATATACTATTATTAACAATGTCACCGTTATTTTTCTGAGCATTTACTGTGTTCCAGGCTATATACACTTCTATTTCATCCTCAAAATGATCTATAAGGTAGGTATCTGCATTTTATATATGAAGGCACTACGTACATTTCAGAAGGGTGAAAGCACCACACCAAAGTGTCACAGAGCAAGCACATAGTGTATGGTCTTAAAGCTGACTCATTTTATCCCGAACTATGTCACCTGCCAAATGCTAATCAAAGTACACATCTCATCCTGATACAATTAGTTCCTGGATTCAAAATCTTATTCAAAAAATTCATCCCCTTCCAAACACCTAACTCTATAATTAAGGGAAAAGGTCTAACTTCCATTGAATACAAGCTATTGACTGGGAACCTTGTAGATACTATCCCTTGAACCTTCACTACAGTTCTTCTAGGTAGGAATTATTACGCCTGTTTTATGGATGGAAATTAATAGTCTGAGAGATTAAGTTTATCTCTAGTCACAGCTAATAAGAGAATGAACTTGAATATCTAACTCCAAAGCCTGTGACCTTAAATGATCACAGCTTCCAAATTTATAATCCGCCCCCATTCAGCTTTTCCAGAACAAATGTTCATAGATACTCTGAAGTAAGTGTTCTGTGGACACACCGGACATCTCAAAGCTTCACATAATAACATGGCAGTGTGAACATCTGAGAGGGGGATTTTTTATAGTGGGTTCCTCAAACAGACTTGATGGTGAAACCACTCACAGATCATCTAGCAGGAGCAGTGTTTCATCACCAACTCTGGAAAATGTCAAAGTCTACAATTCAACTCTCCCTTGAATTCTGTCTGAGCCACCACCTTAGCTGATTCCTCACCTTGACTCCAGCCGCGACCCTGCCCCTCACTGCAACCCAGTCTCCAAAGCTAACATTCACAGCATCGCCAGTACAAAATACTTCCTTGAATGGGGAGCTGCTCATGAATGTCAAGGGTACCTACTGGCTATTGGTCTTACTGAAGCAATCTGAATGGGCTTCCACATAGCAAAATTGCCCCATGTAGGAAACTTCAGAAAATAGCCTGAAAGAATGTAATTTGTTTTCTACCTCATGAACAAGCTCTCCTTTAGTGATCGGTAAATTAATAGCTGTGTTCAGAGCATTCCAATGCAAGTTAATAAAGCCTAGGTTCACCTCTTCTTCAGACTCCGGGGGCCCAGATCCTACAATTAACTATGTTCTCTGGTTTCCTTTCAACTGCATGGAACTTGGCCACACTCGTACAGTATAGTTTACAATAGTCATCATCAAACAGTTTTCATTGAGTATAATCAATAAAGTTAGCCTATATGTGGTATATAAGTACATGTATTACTAAATGAATATATCATGTACTCTATTTTTTTTAATGTTCTATTTATTTATTCATGAGAGTCAGAGAGAGAGAGAGAGAGGCAGAGGCAAAGGGAGAAGCAGGCTTCCCGCCGAGCAGGGAGCCCGATGCGGGGCTCGATCCCAGGACCCTGGGATCATGACCTGAGCCGAAGGCAGATGCTTAACCATCTGAGCCACCCAGGCGCCCCTCATGTACTCTATTTTTAGGTAGTAAATTCTTACATTCCATGCTTGGTGGGAACCTCACTAGAATAACACTCCAGCCTTCTCTCTCCCTAGGTGAGAAGAGGGTATTCTCCCAATGATTGATAACTAGGGGAGCAAGAGCCCATAAAGCACAGCACACAGCTCCTTCTCTCCTGTTTGGGGTCAGATGTCCTCAGGGAGCACCCCTTCCACCTGGCTCCAGTCAGTGGGAGGCTTAGTGGTAAAAGGAGCCCCCACAGAAGAAGTCCTGTGCTTTTCAGGGAACATGTCTAATTCTGGGATGCAGGCTGAGGAAACCCATGACTGCTGTACAGCTCACCTAAGCCAGATTCCCCCATGGCTCTCTCAAGAAGAAAGCTGACATGGGGCGCCTGGGTGGCTCAGTCGTTAAGCGTCTGCCTTCAGCTCAGGTCATGATCCCAGGGTCCTGGGATCGAGCCCCGCATCAGGCTCCCTGCTCAGCGGGAAGCCTGCTTCTCTCTCTCCCACTCCCCCTGCTTGTGTTCCCTCTCTCGCTGTGTCTCTCTCTGTCATAAATAAATAAAATCTTTAAAAAAGAAGAAGAAAGCTGACATTGTGTTTTTCAATTTCCAGGTCCTTCTGTCTCTCTCAGTTCTAACTTGAGGTGTGGAGAAAGGCAAACTATATGTCGGGCTCCTTAAAAACTGCCTATTAGCTGCTGATTAAGCTAATTTTAGCTGATTTATTATACTACTTTTTATATAATAATAAAATATATATAATTAAAAGTGAAGGATAAGCTAAAAATATATAATTAAAAGAGGTAATTTTTCGCTACTGTGAGATAGTAAGAGATTTATATCAGTCTATGCCCCCAATTCCCAGCACAGAGCTCATGAAACCCACGTCCAGAATTTCCTGAGTGATAAGAGCGCCAGGAGCATATTTTGTTCTAATTTGGTCTTTGACCCCAGCTCCTGACACAAGGCTCCTGAAACCCTTGTAATTTCTTAGGTGACAGGAATAGCTCTTGTTCCAATAAGGTGCTTCTGGGTGGGCTCCCGGGTGGCTCCTGGAGGGGGGCTGGTCTCCAGAAAGGCCAAGCCCTGATTAGAAGCTGGGCATTTTCAACCCATCCCCGTTCTCTTAAGGGAGAAGGACTAGAAATGGAGCTAATGACCAATTGTGCCTATGTGAGACAGCCTCCATAAAAATCCCAATAGTATGGGGTTCAGAGAGCTTCTAAGTTGGCCAACACACCCACACTCAGAGGAGGATGCACCCCAACTCCACGAGGACAGGAGCTCCTGCCCTCAGGACCCTCCCAGACTCCAGCCTATGTATCTCTTCTTCTGCTGTTCATCTGTATCCTTCATCATACCCTTTAGTAAACTGGTAAATGTAAGTAAGTGCTTCCCTGAGTTCTGTGAGCCTCTCTAGCAACTTGATTGAACCTGAGGAGGGGGTCATGGAAACCTCTGATTTGTAGCGAAATCAGACAGAAGTTGTAGGTAACCTGGGGACTTAATACTTGCAGTTAGCATCTGAAGGGGTGGGGGGTAGTCATGTGGGACTGAACCCTGAACCTACGGTATCTGATACTGTCTCCAGGTAGATAGTGTTAAAACCAAGTTAAGTTGTAGGATACCCAGATGGTGTTGCAGAGACTTGCTTGGTGTGGGGAAAAAACCCAAATGTTTGGTGGCCAGAAATGTCAGAAGGGAAGTGTTCTGTGTGAAAGAAAGACACAGGAGACACAGATGGAAAACAAGAGTTCTGAATACAGCTACACTCCAATGACTTGTCTTAACCACCTCCTGAGATGTGTGGACCCCACTTTGTAAAA